TTGGGGCATTTCTTTGAATACATGTTAAAAGAATTAAAAACAGGATAGAGCGTAAACACATTTGTAGCCCCCCTCCCACCACCACCACCAGGTGACAGCCAAAGGAAAACTGACAGGGCCTCGCAAGGGCTACGTTATTTATTAAGTCAAGAAGGTGGTTTCAGGATGTTTGTTTATACTCACAAACTCATAGATTCTGCTAGCACTTACAGAGGCAGAAGAAAGCTTGGAAGAGGTGGTGCTTTAGGAACCATACTTCCCCACTGCCCAGTGACTAGCAGTATTGACCTCCCGGTTTTGCCACACTCAGTCAAACACATTAATGACATCCTCGGTCCTGTTGCTATCACACGGGCCCTGCAGAGTTTCTGGCATTGATGCCGCAAGAAGCAGAGCCGGCTGGAGGAGAAAGGGAAAGAAATGAAGCAGAACTTTTCTATGGCAGGTGTGTTTGCAAAGGAAAACCATAAATTCATCTCCAAACACTAGCATATTCCCCAAAGGTAGGTTATGGGAATAAATATATCTGTGATACCTCTACACTACCGAGTGGCAGATTTTAAGAACTTCGGGTTTATATTTACTCAGCCATACTGCTTCAGCTAGCTGACAATATTAGCAGCAGTTAGAAGTCAGGATGAAGTTCCTGTCAAAGCAAATGGCACCACCCAGCACTTCTCAGCCTGATACACTTTTTCTTCAAGGACCCTTTGCAGCCAGCGCACATACAGCTGATCCCACCAGCCTAGCCTTATCAAGAGCCAAAAAGGAGAAGACTTCTCTAATTGGTAATTTTAATTATGGACATTCTGATCCAATACTGCTGACAAAACAGATGTTTCCTACACTCCTTTCCTCAGCAAAGTTTTCTACACTATAGATTTTCTGTCACGCATGACAAGCAATGCAATATATTTGTTAAAATGTCCCTATAAGCCATGGGAAGAATAAACCCAACCGCTAGTTTCACCAGCACAACATTGAACATCTGCTCCATCTGTTCCAGGAAATGGTGACAGGCATCTTGCTACAATATACTATGCTAATTTTTCCAAGATAATTTTATATTAGGTCATTTAAATGATAGTGAGGTATTTTATTACTACAAACAAAAACAGACAGAACCTCCATAACCATTTCTAAACTGCTTTAGTAGCCTGAATCACTCTCTGCTTCCATAACTTTAGTGCCACCGTGGCAATGACAGCCTGCCACAACCAAGCCATTTGCCAAAACTGAACAACCTTGTGAGCCTGAATATGGCACGGCATGCAGGAACACAGCCTGTTAAAAGAAAGGAAGGATTGAAGAGCTTTCCCTTTGCATGCGGTAAATCCTCCCAACTTCAGAAGAGCTGTACCACTTGGGTGAGTGTAGCACAGAGATGAATGTAGCACTGTGTTACTTGTGCTACATACTAACGGCATAACTTAATTTCATCAATTTAAACACAAAAATCAGTATTCAGTTCAAGTATTTAATCACTAGACAAAGAAAGAAGGCTGCCCGTGTTATCCTTATGGACACTGAAGTGATAGATATTTGGATTTCATCTTGGATTTCATTTACAAAATATTTCATTTTTAATCACTTGAAGAATTTTTTGTAGTAGTACACCAGCAGCCAGAAAGTCTTTCTTGTTGGTCTCCTGAACTCTGTTCTATGTCTATATATACTTAATCACATATGAACCTCAAATTAATGCTGTTTAATTAATACTATATTCTGCGGATAAAACCCATTTTTATCCTTCAGCATTTTCTCCGCTCACAAGAGGCCTGATTCTTTTCTACTTTTTACTGCATTGACTTTACTGTTTTTCTCTCTCATTTATTGGTATTTGGGAAAATCTTTCAATTGAGGGATGTTAACGATATACAAAGTGCATATCACTGAACCTCTCGATTTTTATTTGACTTTACTATACAGCTACTTTTCAAATCACTACTCTTTTACAGAGAATAGCAGGGACAACAAAAATACCTTTGCAAGGCCATGACTGTCACTTTCCTTATAAGCAGTGAGATTTAGGAAAGCTCAATATTAAATTCAGTACAACTAGAGTTGGATCATGTAAAACAGTAATCTATCAACACATTTTAGCAAGCTTAAATGTAAGGCACACCTGAATCTGAAATCAGTGTGAGCACAAGGATTGTTGAAGTGCTTTTTTTCTACCAGGGCAAGAGTGCTTAACATGAGCAAACAGGTTTTGTTCATCCTCCCTTTAATGACATGGCCTTGATAGGGGAGGAAAGTCAAACAGCAGCATTGAAAAGAAGAACAGATTTTATCCTGCTTCCAACATTTTAGAAGGTTTAATTAGAGACTAGACACCACCAACTCCATGTGAAAAAACAAGACAAGTGGATCTCATGCCATCAAGTCTACTTCTCCTGTAGGCAGACAATTAATATAAATTTTTATAATTACACACACACTGACCAAGCCCAATAGCTATGTAGGCGTTTTGCTTCTGTAGCCATCAGAGAGCTGTTCCAGAGCCTTACCCTTTTGATCCTCGGTAATCTTCAGTCCCTTCAGGTGGGAAAATATGCCCGAGTAAGATTATTACTGTGACAGTAACTGTATGAATGCCATTTTACAAGCATGATCCCTAATTTGTAGACCCTGGACTGGAATCTAAAGGCAAACACAACAAGAGGTGGGAAAGGAAAGGAGCTCCTTCTGAAGAGGAGTCAGAGCTTTGGGAGAAAGGAACATTAAAATCACAGGTTACGAAGTGCAAGCATGCCTTAAAGGTCTTTTTTCTCCCACTTCTGTGAATTTAATTTTGTGAAATATCTTTTTAAAGGGTGAATTCTGTTGTAGCAAACCAGAAAAATAGCATGATTTGTTCAAGACACAATACGTAATGATAGGTGCCTTGCTAATCCCTTTCTTCTTCTACAGAGCCTGTATTCTTTGAAAACGGCCCTCAGCATTTTCTTTTGGCTCTGCTCTCTACATGCCTGTTCTGTATCATTTCCCATGGAAAAGGCGAAACATAATACCCATTTTTAAAAGGGGAAAAAAGGAAGGCTGAGGGAACTGCAGGCCAGTCACTCTCACCTCTGTGCCCAGCAAGATCATGGAGCAGATCCTCCTGGAAACGATGCTGGGGCACATGGAAAATAAGGAGTTGATTGGTGACAGCCAATATGGCTTCACTAAGGGCAAATCATGCCTGACGAATTTGGTGGCCTTCTACAATGGGGTTACAGCGTTGGTGGATATGGGAAGAGCAACTGATGTTATCGTCCTGGATTTGTGCAAAGCATTTGACACTGTCCCACAAAACATCCTTGTCTCTAATTTGGAGAGATGTGGATTTGACAGATGAACCACTCGGAATTGGCTGGATGGTAGCACTCAAAGAGTTGAGGTCAACAGCTCAATGTCCAAGGGGAGGCTGGTGATGAGGGGAGCTCCTCAGGGGTCAGAACTGGGACCAGTGCTGTTTAACATCTTTACTGGGGACGTGGACAGTTGGATTGAGTGCACCCTCAGAAAGTTTGCCAATGACACCAAGCTGTTTGGTGCGGTTGACACGCTGCAGGGAAGGGATGACATCCAGAAGGACCTGGACAGGCTTGAGAGGCAGGCCCGTGCAAAATTCATGAAGTTCAACAAGGCCAAGTGCAAGGTCCTGCCCATGGGTCGGGGCAATCCCAAGCACAAATACAGGCTGGGCGATGAGTGGATTGAGAGCAGCCCTGTGGAAAAGGACTTGGGGGTGTTGATGGATGGAAAGCTAACTATGAGTCAGAAATGTGTGCCCAGAGTCCAGACAGTCGACTGTATCCTGGGCTGCACCAAGAGAAGATTCTCCCCCTCTACTCCACTTTTGTGAGACCCCACCTGCAGTGCTGTGCCCAGCTCTGGGACCCCAACATAAGGACATGGACCTGTTGGAGCGAGTCGAGAGCAGGGCCAGGAAGATGATCAGGGGGCTGGAGCACCTCCCCTGTGAGGACAGGCTGAGAGAGTCGGGGTTGTTCAGCCTGGAGAAGGGAAGGCCCCAGGGAGACCTTACAGCAGCCTTTCAATACTTAAAGGGGGCTTTTAAGCAAGATGGGGACAGACTTTTTAGTAGGGCCTGTTGCCATAGGACAACGGGTGATGGTTTTAAACTGAAAGAGGGCAGATTCAGACAAGAGATAAGGAAGACATTTTTTATGGTAAGGGTGGTGAAACACTGGAACCAGCCACCTGGAGAGCTGTTAGATGCCTCATGCCTGGAAACATTCAAGGTCACTTTGGACAGGGCTCTGAGCAACCTGATGTAGATGTCCCTACCCATGGCAGGGGGGTTGGACTAGCTGACCTTTAAAGGTCCTTTCCTACGCAAACCATCCTGTGATTCTATGAATCAGGAGCCTCATTTCTGTTTAACCACACTCGTAAGGCGGCCACCATGTGCGCTACATGGAGCTTGTTCACAAACTGCTGCCCAGCTGGCAGCAATTCCAGATGTCAGACCTAAGGCAGAATGCTTTTTCACATTCCGGCTATTCACGAGGCCAGAACCCAGAAGCTGCACATGGCACAGACTGGTACACCCACGAGTGATGAAATGCCCACAGAACCCACGCTGCTGCTGACAGGAGGCATCTCACACACCGGGTTGAGAGCTCCCTTCTGCGATCACACCCACCGGGCCACACACACGCTCTCCCCCCACGTCCACACGCATCCTCCTTTTTTTCTGCGGGCGCGTACGCAATTTGCCATCTCCTCCGGGGCCTAAGCGTGAGGCCACGGCACCGCCCGGGGCCCAGCCGCGGCGGCAGCGCCCAGCCCCGCCGTCAGGCCGCGCCCGCGGGTGTCCGCGCCCCGCGTGCGCAGCGCGGCGGCCCGCGGGCCTCCACCCCTCCCCCCGCAGCGCCCCGGGGGGCGGCCCCGAAACGGGGACGGGGACGGGGGGGGGGGAAGGGGCCGGGCCGTGCGGCCGGCGGCGCGTGCGAGAGGCGCGGGCAAGCTCCTCCCGGCGGCGGGACGTGCAGTGGGTCGGCGGGCCATGGAGGAGGCGGCGCGGCGGCAGCGGCGGCCGGGCCCGCGGGCGGGCGGCGGGGCGGCGGGGGCCTGGTGCTCCGCGCTGCTGCTGCTGCTGCTGCTGCCGGCGGCGGCGGCGGCGGAGGAGCCGCGGTCGTCGCGGCAGCGGGGGGACGAGCAGTGCCATTACTACGCGGGGGGGCAGGTGTACCCCGGGGAGGCGGCTCGCCTGCCCGTCTCCGACCACTCGCTGCACCTCAGCCAGGCCAAGAGTAGGTGCCGGGGGGGGGGGGGGCCGGGGCTGCCCGGGGGGGCGCAGGGGAGGGCGGATGCCGTACGGGCGCCTTTCGCCGCGCTGCCGGGGCCGGGGCCGGGGGAAGGCGCCCGCAGTGTGTGTGTGTGTGTGTGTGTGTGTCCCCACTCGGGGCGCGGGAGGCCTCCCCGGGCAAGGGTGGGCGGCCGCGCCCCAACCGGCGGCTTGAGCAGCCCCGGGCCCTGCGCGGCCCCCCCACACCCACCCCACGGGGTGACCGTCGCGGTTGGGGTCCCTGCGGGAGCGGCACCGGTCTCACGCCGCGGCCCCACGTCGGCCCCGGGCCCGGGCGGGAAAGCCCCTCCCAGCCCTGCGGGTTCGCCGTGGTAAAGCGGCGGCGGGTCCAGCGTTTCACGGGCGTTCGTGGAGGTCTGCGGTTCCAGAAATAGCGAATGAGCTCAGGGAGACGCTTCAAAGAATATGCAGAAGCGGTTTGTGCCCGCGCGGCGGTGAGAAATACGGCACTGCCGTCACCTCTCGTAACGCTTCGGCCGGGTGGCCGGGAGATGTTTTGGGGCACCCGTTCAGGTGGCCCGATGCTCCCCAAAAGCCCCGCTCCGCAGCGCAGAGCAGACGGAGAAGTCGTGCCGAAACAATCACTGCTGTGAGAATTTGCAGCTTTAAATCGTTTTCCTCTACCAAGCCAGGGCATAACGTCTGTTTTAAAAGTTTGCAAACAGATGCTATGAAAAAAAGATGGAAAAGCAGCCGAGATATTTGTAACCAACGCTGCATGGTTTTTCCTCCCTTTGTAACGTAAATCATTACAGCGATTCGGACAAGTGTTTTTAACCCCCCCCCCCCCCAAAAAATCACCTCATTTAGGAAGGGGTCAATATATGTTACTTAATTTCTTTTCCTTCTCCCTCCTAATCTCAAAGTCAGTTGAAGAGAATGTTTTGCTACAAAGAGATTAGATGTGGGATGTCACTATTTTGTAAAGAGTAATGTATTTGAAACATTTTTTGAGAGCTAAAAATAACTTGGAGATTAATCCTTGCTTTCACTTGAAAATAGTCCCATACCTGCAAAGACTCAATAGAAGAACATTAGAAGTCAGGGGCTTGAAATCTGATCAGAAAGATTTCTGCAGAAGGCTTGAGAGGAAGAAGAGCATTTCTTCAAAAAATATAAATTGAAATTATCAGTCATACCCACTGACATTCTGTACCTGTATTGCTATGTCCCTTGCAGGTTATACCAAGTGAAACCAAGGCAGCTGCTGCTTTCCCACACGGGGCAACAGCTGTCTGATAAATTGGGGTATTTTTGGCAGTCCTTGTTATACGTCCTCACTAACTATATTTTACAGCTATGGGTTGTCCTAAGAAAAGGAGAGCCCAACAACTCAGTCATCATCCAAATAATAATTCAGATTCCATGTATTTTTCTCAGCAGCATTTCCCCAATTTCCTGGAGCTGTATGTCAGTGTCCTTGACATCACAAGTATATTCAGATCACCTTGTATCTCCAGCATACCCTACCCGTTGTCTCAGAATTCACATTACTATGAAAATAGTATCTGGGAGATTCATTTTTAATATTTTAAATTCAAGGTTAATCCCTTTTGATAGGAATAGTAAATACATTTCATACCTTTTAATTGGATTCTTCTTTTTTTTAAGCACAACTATCTTCAAGTTGCAATTTGCTTAGGAGTTGTAATTTAATAAATATACACTGCATTTTTAAGCATTTGTCTCTAAACAGGTCGTAGCGTGTATTTTTTGTGGACTTGAGTTCCAAATAGATTTTCGTGGCTAAAAAGTAACAGTGAATTTGAACCATCTTATGCTTCTGGTTCACAACAACTATTCTTAACAAAATACTGAGGGTTCCTGAAGTCTTAAAACATTTTCTCCTTCAGTCCAACAGATGTTCTGCCATGAGCTGGTTGTGCACATGTGGTTTGTTCAGTATGCCCAGATAAGGTTTGTGTGGCCTTGGTTATCAGTGATTCAGAGGGCTCATGTATAAGAACAAGTTGGTCAAAATATTTACTTTCCATGTGTACTGCAACCTACATTTCTTCATCATCCTTTAACCTCTGCCAGCTGTTAACTTTTTAAAGTGGTAAGGAAGTTTCATTTTGTAACTGTCCAGTAGGTTGTTTTTCAGGCAAAGGGAGGAACTGTTGTCCTTGCACACCAGCTAGCTAATGAACAGCTTTGTTTGAACACGTGCTTCGTATTCTGACTTTTAATTGAACGTCCTTCATATTTCAGTCTCCAAGCCAGCACCTTACTGGGAAGGAACAGCAGTCATTAATGGAGAGTTTAAAGAGCTGAAATTAACAGATTATGAAGGAAAATACCTTGTCTTCTTCTTCTATCCTCTGGACTTGTAAGTAAGACCACTGTAGACATATCAAGACTGAGTGCAGCTACACTAGACTTGTAATTCATTAATTTTTCTCTTTTTTTTTTTTGTTGAGGTCTTGGGTTTTTGTTTGGTAAGGGTTTGAGGGAGAAGAAAGGAGTGACAGAAGAAAATACATTATTTGCATTTGTGTATTCATCATGCATTGGTAAAATTGTAGCACAGTCTTTGTTCTAATAAGTGTAGCTGCCAATTTGTGTCTCCACACCAAAAAATAGCTTTCAGACTGTAGTACCCAGTCAGGCAACCTTTACATTCTGATGATACTGTAAATCACTGCTGCAAATAGAAGACTGCATCCCATCTATATTTTCTCGAGTGTATTTAGTGTATCTAAGAGATGGCATTTTCCCTTTAAGCTTCTCCCATAACATCCTAAGAACACTTAATATTACCCTCCTTTATTTAGAATGCAGTAACTTCACTGGTTGAGTGCAAACATCACTGCTTTCTACCAGATGATCCCGTTCCTTTCCACAAAATGAAGAAAAGAGGACAGAGATGCGTAACTGCCGTAACATTATAAAGGAAATAATGTGGCTCTTGGCCATTAGCTTCAAGGCCCTAGAAATTGTGATCTTTACCACTTTTTCTTCTGTAATGGAAACAGTTTAAGTCAGAATAGTTAAAACTTTCAGACATGTATGGTAACAACAAATTACAGTATGTTCCTCTGAAAAAATGGGCTAATTTGTGGTTAAATTCAGCCACTTGAATATTCATAAAGACTAAAAGAAAGTAACTGTAAAAATACTTGAATCCAGATTGTAAGCTAACTGTAGATTTACAATCTTCAGTAATAAATCATTTATAACTAAGCTAGAGTCTAAGGCTGGAAGATCTGTCAGGCAGCATTTCCGTTAAATATTTGAAGAAGCAATAAAAAATAAGTAAAAGCTGAAATAATTTATGATAAATCCACCATTTTAAGTTAAACAGAGAACTCACTGGATGTTTCATGAAATTCTGACTTTATTTTGTCTTAAATTACCTAGTACATTTGTATGTCCAACTGAGATAATCGCCTTCAGTGACAGAATTGAAGAATTCAGAGCAATAAATACCGAAGTTGTAGCATGTTCGGTGGACTCAAAGTTCACTCACTTAGCATGGTATGTATCTTATCCTTGTCTTTCACTAAAAATTATTCATGGGTCCATCTTAGCTGAAGAACAGTATCCCCAGATTTTTAGCCTATGTAGGTATATCATAATGTGTAAAAGTGTGATGCTACTGATACAAATGCTTAGAATATTTTTCAGTGGTAAAAATTTTTAATGCTAGTGCATGGAAAGTACCTTTATCTTTGAAGCTTATTTAATATGTATTGCTTGAAATATATCATCACAGTACAAAAAAAATACTACAAATACAAAAAAGACATAAGGATGCAAGCATCTGTAAATCTGTCTCACTGCCCCAATTCAGGAGCACATTGGTATAAAGCAAATATGACTGATAAGAAAGAGGTCATTATTAATAGATGCAGCCAAAAACTGCAAAATATCTACTCAACATTTTGCTCGAACTATAAATACTATTCATCTCCGTTGTGTTCAGAACAAAAAAAATGTCACTTGAGCTAAATCCTTCTGTCTGTACTGCTCTGGTTTGTGTCTCCTAACTTTGTGTAGGGAATATAAATCTTTATGAGAAATACATCTGTATCTTATGTCTTTTAAAGGATTAATACTCCTCGAAAACAAGGAGGACTCGGACCTATGAAGATTCCACTTCTTTCAGATTTGACGCACCAAATTTCAAAGGATTATGGAGTATATCTAGAAGATCAAGGGCATACACTTAGGTATTTCACCTAATTACAGTTCTTTTTTTTTTTTTTTTTTTTTTTTTTTACTGGGGTAGTACTAATTTCTATCTAAAGAAGCATTTGAAATTTTTCTTAGAGAGCAGATCATAATTGGGGATTTGTGCTGAGAGAAAAAACGAATATTGAAGAACACAAAAAAAACAGTCATAATGAGTCAGCACAGGGGTGGAGGTTAATGTCCTGTTTAACAGCAGTCATCAGCAGATACCTAGAGCAGGGCAAACATGCAGAATTCCCCAGAACTTCAGTTACTTGGGGACCTCTCAAGTCCACCTGGAGTCAAGACCAAGGGTAATTAATGGCCTCAAGAGAGACATCTTTCATAAACTGGATTCATGCTTTTGGGATCCCTGTAGCATCACAGCATCTGCAACATCTCCTGGCAGGGCCTGTCAAAGTTTAGTTTTATGTTCTGCAGAGAAGTATACTTTTTTGTTTTTAACTTACCCTCAGCTCGTGTCATCTGATGCCCCAGGTAAAGAACGGTAGGTTACTAGTATTCTAAGGTGGTGGGTATTGTATGGTGTTTGCAGAGCTCAAATTCCTCCCATTCAGCAGACATGAAATAGTGCGTAAACACAGCACTGTAATTAGTTCTGTTTCCTAACACACACAAAAAAAATATTTTCACAGAGGCCTTTTCATTGTTGACGATAAGAGAATCCTTCGACAGATCACGATGAATGACCTTCCTGTTGGGAGATCAGTGGATGAAACGCTTCGTTTAGTACAAGCATTCCAATACACAGACAAGCATGGAGAAGGTGCTCTTTTAAATACTTTCATGCTGAAGATTGTTTTACTTAGACTGGAAGCTGTATTTGTATTTTTTTGGAAGAAAGGTACTCTTGGTATGCAGTGAATGAAGTGGTTTGATTGCCCAGCTACAAGATCCTGTAGTCCCGGTACCTCCATGGGTTGTGTATAGAATAGTAATACACATTTAGCTTCACATCCATGAGAATGCAGAGCATAAAGCATTCCTTAGTCTGAATTAAGGCATTATGTACCATTGTCGTTGTTTAAGCCCAGGCAGCTGCTAGCTCACTCCTTCCCCCTCCCAGTGGGATGGGGAATCAAAAAAACTCATGGGTTGAGATTAGAACAGTTTAACAACTAAACTAAACTAAAATAACAATAATAATAATAAAATATAATAATAATTGTAATGCAAAGGAATATAACAAAAAGAGAAATAAAACCCAAGGAAAAACAGGTGATGCACAGTGCAGTTGCTCACCACTTGCTGACTGACCCCTCCTGGCCAACTACCCCCCACTTTATATACTGAGCATGACGTATGGTATAGAATATTTCGTTGGCCAGTTTGGCTCTGTTGCTCTGGCCGTGCTCCCTCCTGGTTTCTTATACACCTGCACACAGGCAGGACATGGGGAGTTGGAAAGCCCTTGATCTTTCAGCAACAATTGAAAACATCAGCGTATTAGCAGCATTCTTCTCGTACCAAATCCCATGCTGAATCCAAACCACAGCACTGTTCTAGCTACTAAGAAATAAAACTAGCTCTGTCCCAGCCAAAACCAGGACAACCATCTGTCACAAGCATAAGTCTGTACAAAATATGAGGCCATGAAGAATCGGGCACAATATTTCAGTACATTTTGGCATGCTAATATAATCGAGGTGCAGGCCATCCTTGTCTTGTGTCATTCATTGAGGATCTGTGACAAGTAATTGAGAGTGCTTCATGGCAAGATACATGGTGACACTGTGAAAGGTAGACTGTCATTAAGTGTATTTTCTTTACAAGTGCTATGTGATCATCTTCCCCTGACAAAGCAGCTTTCACTGGCTTCACATCATTACTTTGTCTCAAGAATTCGTATTCCCCAAGTTCAAGCATAGGGTGAACTTTTCACATTTCTTTACAAAATGTGTTTAAATAAACACAATTTATTTAAAGATTTGTTTAACTATTAATACACGTGTTCAGCAGCTTAACTTTCATTTGAACTCAATTTTGCCTGACATTTTAAAGTATCTTCATCTGAAGATACAGTCATTATTTGTTATTCGCTGTACAGATTTAAAAAGATCAATGCTGATACTTACCTATGCACTGTTGACTAAGGAAATTTAGCTTCTCTCATTTAGTTACAAAGCTGTCTTACAAAATATTGACCTGCAGTGTGTTTCCACAGTACCACGTTTTTTTCCAGCTGTATGTGGAATCTCACCAGCTTTTGCATGAGTGCTGAGGAGAACCTTCCTAGGCACCTGATTGGATTCTTTGCATAGAACAGGCAAAAGAGTTCTCCACAATTCCTAACTGCATTTGTGGTGTTCTGTCTGACAGCATGCCTTAAAGCAGTGTAATATGGCATAATTCATTGAGGTAAAGCCTCAGAGGGAGAGCTCTGAACAGATAAGAGCTTCACTCCAGAATGTACAGGTGGTCACAGAGCTCTCAGCCACGCTGCATGTTAACTACATACTATAATCCCTTTACTCCTCTGTAAGGCTTCAGTAAAATCACTCAGTCTGTTGTGGAATCTTTGAACTGATCTCTGCTAAAAAATTTCCACTAGCATTGGTTCTAAAGAAGGAAAGGAAGGTCCCTGTGTAGTTACCTGAATTTTATCATGAAACTTTCGTTTCTATTAGAAGAGGTGTTCCTCCTAAGATACTGCTTTGACAGTACTTTGTCTAGAATGGCATGAGAATTAAACCAGGGCATAGACATTGATCAAGAAATACGCAGTTTCCAGTTAACAGAAGCGGTAGGTAGTATCAGGTATAAAATGTTATGATACCATCCCATGTATAAAGAACGCTGTGTATTTAATAGTTACAGATATTTACATGTGACACTTCTGTGCTGTTTTACTTCAGAAAGAGAATATTAAGTGCACAAAAGTAAGTTGGTGTAAAAATATGTTTAACTTTGTCCTTTGTTTTTTTTTTTTCCTCCAGTTTGCCCTGCTGGTTGGAAACCTGGCAGCGAAACAGTAAGTTGCTGGTTTTATTTAAATGCATGTACTACTAAAAAATGCTCAGTTACCATTTCCACTAAAGCCAAATCCAAAATCTTTGCAACTTGCAATTAGATTATATGAGTAAACTCACATTATAGTTACAGCTTTTGGATTACTACTGATTTTGTTACGAGCTGGTTTCCCTCACACTAGACATACTCCAGTTGGTTCAAATTCCCTGTGTATGAACAAAACTCTTGAGCAGCAATGAGTTTGTGGTTAAGAACCTCTTTTCCTGTTAACACCTGATGAGAGGAAGTTGGAAACTCTTGAGTCTGTCCTATCTTATTGGTTATTTGTCCATATAAACTCTTGGCTCTCTTGAGTCTTACTGTGGATCCTAGGAACTACCCAAAAAAAAGAAAGATAAGTTCCCAGGGTGATGTAGTATCTGACAGAGCCAGTGTGCCTCTGTCAGAACTCCAGCAGAGAGCACTGCTTGGCTGTGCAATCGCTCTTCCTCCTTCATTACTACTCCCCTACATGTGACTACAAGCAGAAGAGCTAGGGTTCAGATAAACACAGATCAAACTTGTTTGTGTTCTCTGGCTTGGATCAAGCCTCAGCAGGATAATGAAATTTCCACTAGAGGTCTGAGCTGTGTAGTTCAGATGAGATCACTGTCATTTATTTGAGCACGTGGCTTTCTTCTGAACCATCTGGTGATGACATAGCATTGTTGTTTAAGAGCTGTCTCGACAAAAAGTAGGTCCCAGCAGCCTCTAAGCAGAGTAGTGAGCATTGTAATTGAGAGTAAAAACTGTGGAATGTTAAGCCATGTTTCTTTGCTGGTTGCGAAAACTTCCCAGGATGACTGAAGGCTAGGAGTCATCTCTTCCAAGCTAGCAGAGGACTGTCTTAGTGAGAGAAGCTGGATATTAAGACTGTAAAGTGAAAGACGGCTGGCTGGCCTGACAGACATATTTTGGCACTGAAATGTTCTGCCCTCCATAACTGTGAATCACCTAAATAATACAACATTAACGTATTTTCTAAAAAAGATGCAGATAATTTAAATAGCAGAGTAGTTCAAAAAGCCTTTCTCAAAGATGTAGCCATGCCTTCTAAATGTGTTTGATTTAATTAGATCAAACCAGAGGAAGCCATGAGAGTGTGGTGGCCAAGGGAAGAACTGTAAGTAAATTCTAAGCCTCCTGATTACAGACATTAATTCATTAAAATACCTTGCTTTTGAGGCAAGCAACATAGATGTATCTGCTCACAACTGTCAAAATTCTTCCTCTGGTAGGCTGCACTCTCTCTTCCCCCAGTCAGTTAAATCTTTTTGCTACTGCTGTTAGGTACCTTTAGAGATAAACAGTAATCCAGTATCAAGTCAACTGATAAATTACTCTTCAGTGTTGCTTGTGGGTTGGCCTTTAACATCGTATTAGGAAATACTATGCCTTTCTGGTTTTATAGTTTGTTGTGTTTGTGTGGTTGTGGGTTTTGGCTAACATTTTCCTCTTTCTTTCTTGCACAGATAATTCCAGATCCAGCTGGAAAACTGAAGTATTTTGATAAACTGAACTGAGACTCACTTCTGTTGAATTACATAGGTCACATTCACCTTGATTTTTGCCAATAAAATTTCATTAATTTTGTTACTTTCATGAGTTTGACTAATACGTAACTGTAGTAGATCATTAAAGGTCTTGTTGCTTAAACAGGAGTCTAACCTCCATGAAGCACAGGTACCTCATTAGTTACCAAAGAATATTCTTATTAAATACATGTTTTCCCTGTAAGTCTTGTTTAGATACTTGGTTTTCCTAAAATTTACTTCTCCTAGCATCTCAAGCTTAGATTCATTACTTTTGCTGTTGATAGATTACATAATTTCTGCAAAAATCTTGTCTGCTGAGTCACATTCTAAGAGCTACAGTTGGAAAGGAGCGAATTGGTTATGTTACATTAGTCTGTAGTCCAGAGGCAATAGCAGCTAACCCAAAAGCCAGAAATAAGTTACAGTTGCTGAATTAAATTTCCAGTCTGTCCAAAGCTGGAAAACATTTTTAAACTACTAAGAACATACTCTACACTACATAAATCAGTACAACTGTACTAAAAGAAATACAGCTATGCCAGTTCATGGGATTCGAGAGCTGAACCAGTAATTTTTTTCCATGCTTGTATTTGTAGTGTGGATGCTGGTAAAATCAATTCCATTTCACACTGTCTGATTTCTTTCCTTGGCCCTACACTGTTAACAGATGAACATATTGGTTAGTGTCCTGTCCTTGATCCAGTTGTTAACCCTGGCTCCTAGTTTTAAGTCAGTAATGGTACTCCTTCCCAAGGTTAGTATTGACATGTCCAGTGATCATCAGAAACTTTTGTGGTTCATATATATGAACTTGTAATTTCAAGGGAAGATAACATCTCGATGGAAAACATACTTCATGCTTGTGTGCACTGGAGAACCCTTTCATAAGAATGTCTTTTCTTGCTTCTTCCCACCTCTCTGTCTTTTTGACATGGTGTTCTAGAGTCTCTGCAACTGGAAAAACAGCACCTGAAGTCAGTGTCAGCTCTTCTCCAGGGTCATCCTTGAAAAGGCCACAGAGAAACTTCCTCCCTGCTCCAGTCCAGCATCGCTGCATTATTACTCTTGGTTGGATCCCACACTGGTGGGAACTCGCTTCCCCTTCCCCCACCAGACGATACAGTGCCCTTCCCTGTACGCAGACACTTCGGTACAGTTCTGCAGAACTGAACCAGCAGTTGCATTTTCACTATAAAGTTACCTGATTTTGTACGCTTTGGTGAGCGTTGAGCAGCTCTCTGGATCAGTCGCTGCAGACAGAGAGCAGAGGCGGCTGCTTGACTTCTGCTTCAGCTCCGACACAAATACCCCCACCTGAGCGCAAGCCTGGGGCAGAGGCAACCACGGCCAGAGCAAGCAGAGCCCCGCCGAGGCCCGGGGAAAGGAGGAGTTCCTGATCCCATCCAGAGGGTACTGCAGGCACAGCAGGACCAACGCCAAAGGCTGGTCACGCGCTGGACCAGCCCATGCGGTCCCAAAGACCAGAGGGCACCATGTAGAGAGGTGGTTTCTCACGTTACCAGGCTGTAAATCAGCAGCTTCAATTCTACTCCGGATTTTGTTTACACCCTTTATCAACCCTGAAACATCAAAATGTTCAAATAACTCCAAGCAGCTGCAGCGTGACAAATGCAGGCCCAGCTATGACACGGATATTCATAAGCAGCCCAAGCCACAAAACAAACCTAACACTCGGGCCTGCCCTAGGAACAGTGCTTGTGCCCTCTCCTTCTGCCTCTGCAGCCAGGTCACTCTCACCTAACGCTCTCCCAGCAGCAAAAACCTCTGTGGCACTAAGCCAGCCAGCGAGACATTACAAAAATGGAGACGAGTTATCACCCACGCGCTGAATGCGCTCCATCCAGCCCACGGCTCTTTGTGGAGCCAGGCGAGCGGCAAGTTACAGCAACAAAACCACAGTTTCGCTGCAGCACGTACAGCAGCAAGAGCGTCAAACAAAAAGCAGATGTCGAAAGCTGAGGAAGGAACATAGGCCTGTGAACACTTACCGGCTGAAGAACACTGAGGCCATCTGCACACATTGAATATTGCAGATTTAGGTCCACAGCAGCGTAGCTGTGTCAAATTTGAAGGCCCCAGCCCTCTAAACACACGTGGTAAGGAATGGGCTAAGGAATTCTATTTTTTTTAAAAGCAGTTCAATGAGAATAAAAAGTCTTAGGGAAATAATCCATAAGCAAAGACCTAGTCACTATGCCAAATTCCTTATTTGAAGTGAAAGATGATTTCTCTGGAGAGACAATGGGGTTTTACAGACAGTTGGATATGCTGGTAGGGAACTTTGGGAAGGAAAAGACTAGACAAAAAAAAAAAAATGCAAAAGTGCTGGTGTGTCATGGTTTGAGCTCAGATGGCACCTGCAGGTGCTCACTTCCCCCTTTCCCCCAGCACTGAGAAGGAGAAAATAAGTCAAGCTTGGGATTCAAGATAGGACAAGGGGGGGATAAGTCACCCATTATGGTCACAGGCAAAAGACTGACTTGTTAAGGGAAGAAAATAACATAAATTTAATACAGACACTAACAACACTACTTAACAGATAGAGTAGGACAGTGAGAAGTGTTACCACATCTTGAGAACACCTTCCCCCCACCCCTCCCTTCTTCCCGGGCTCAGCTCTGCTCCCGATATCTCTACCTCCTCCCCCAGTGGCGCAGGGGCAGGGAATGGGGGGTGCAGTCAGTGCTGCTGCTTCTTCCATCTTCAGTGGAGGGAGCTTCTGGAACTTGTTCCCCCTACTCCAGAGTGGTCCCTCTCTCACAGAAGACAGTCCTCCACAAACTTTCTCTGATGCGAGTCCCTCCCACAGGCCACAGCGTTCCCCACACAGCTCCATCGTGGGTCACCAACTTTCTCCAACTGGAGTCCCTCCCATGGGCTGCAGCCCTTCCCGAGCTGCTCCGGCGTGGGACACCCCCGCATGCTGCAATCCTCCAGCGCTGAACTACAACAGCGGGGCTAACCTTTCCCATGAGACCCCGGCCTTCTTCGGGCACAGAACCTTGATCAGCCAGGAGAAACAAAACACAGGCCATAAATCAATGTCTGCTCCATCGATCTTCATGGGTGGCAGGGGAGGCCGCCCTGCTGTCTCACCACAGGATACGGGGGGGTTTCCGCTCTGGTGCACCTCCCCCTCACCTTACTCCTCCATTTTTTCACTGACCTCAGTCGTCACATAGATGTCACAACTCCTCCTCACAACTCCAACACCTCCTCCCAAGTCCCTTCTTAAATACATTATCAGATTGGCTCAGCCTTGGTGCAGAGGTGGTTCTGACTTGAAGCCAAGGGAGCTTTGACAAGCTTCTCACGAGGGGCCACCATTGTAGCCCCCTCCCCTGCCACGCAAAGACCCCATGAGTCACTCAAACCTAGGACATGGTGTTTGAGGGGGAGCAGTGGGAGTTTGGGAGAAAACAAAGGCAGATTCTCAGTTACACGCTGCCTCCAGGAAAAAGGAAAACCAAAGGACAGAAGTTGAGAATCATGAATATAAGAATAAAATTGGAAACTCAGTGTGGGGTGGAGAGGGAGAAACACTGAAGTCTGTGGGTTTGGGATCATAAGGATTTGCAGATCATAGGATGGTTTGGGTTGGAAGGGAAATCAAAGCTCATTTAGTTCCAACCCCCTGCCATGGGCAGGGACACCTCCCACCAGACCAGGTTGCTCAAAGCCCCATCCAGCCTGGCCTTGAACCCTTCCAGGGAGGGGGCAGCCACAGCTGCTCTGGGCAATCTGTTCCAGTGCCTCATCACCCTGACAGTAAAGGAATTATTCCTTACATCTAATCTAAATCTGCCTTCTTTCTGTTTAAAACTGTTACCTCTCACCCTATCACTACACTCCCTGGTAAAGAGTCCCTCCCCACCTTTCCTATAAGTACTGGAAGGCCACTATAACGTCTTCTTGGAGCCTTCCCTTCTCCAGGCTGAACAACCCCAACTCTCTCAGCCTGTCCTCATACAGGAGGTGCTCCAGACCCCTGATCTCTCATGACAGCAGAGTAGAGCAGGTGAATCCCCTCCCTCAGCCTGCTTGCCACACTTCTCTGGATGCAGCCCAGGACACAGGTGGCTTTCTGGGCTGAGAGCACACATTGCTGGCTCATAGTGAGTTTTCCATCCTCCAACACACCCAGGTCCTTCTCCACAGGGCTGCTCTCAATCCACTCATCGCCCAGCCTGTGTTTGTGCTTGGGATTGCCCCGACCCATGGGCAGGACCTTGCACTTGGCCTTGTTGAACTTCATGAATTTTGCACGGGCCTGCCTCTCTAGCCTGTCACGACCCTTTCAAATGTTGGTGCAGAGAGTTGAGTCTAAGAACCAGATTTCCAACAGCTGATTTGAAAATGCCGACTCACATCATGGCAACCTCAAATGAGTTCAGATAGATCAGTCGGTGCAATGGTCTCACAAAAACCACCTGCAACCACCTCACAAAACAGTAACTGAACAAACGACAGAGTGGTCTGTTCTTCCAGCAGCCTTCACCTGAGGTTTGAAATAAGGGAAGAATTATCACATAAGTCTGCTTCCCAAACCCTGGGATGTATTCAAGGCCCTCTCAGAAGTGCAGGAAACACAAGCACAGGAGGCTGCTATTGTGAACTTGTCTTTTCAACAGAAAAAGCACAGACCTCCTTCAAAGCAGTAACAAGTGATGAGACACTGCCTTCAACTTCCACTGCTGTTTCAGGCAAGCCTCTTGCACACCTCAACTGCTCTCAGCTGTTAAAAGAGAAAGTTTATAGGGTGGGTGAGGTCTGCAGCTGAACCCCAGCTCTCCAAGCAGGACAGATCTAGTTGGGGTAGGAACTTTTGTGACCCCCCCCCCGACTTTGGGACGGGTACTCCAGCAAGCCCACCTCACTGAACAACACCCACAGGTGCTGCCCCACTGCCCCAGGATGCTCCGAGCAAGTTCTGCCTCCCCGGCAGCCAGCCCTGCCCTGCCCCTCCTGCGGTGCAGAGCCCTGCACTAGCCTACTTGCAATCCCTGTAAGAAGAAACTCACTTTTAGCAGCATTTAATTCTGGAGATGGCCTCCTCCAAGGCACCTCACCAGCCTGGCGGGCTCAGAGGGCCCGGGGCACTGGTCCCTGCTGCAGGACCGTACCTGAATTTTCTGCTGAACAGTTACCAGATAAAGTAAAGAAGCGATGCTGCGAGCAGGGACCAGAACCTGTACCCCTGTCCTTTCTGAGTGCCCCAAGCACCAGTCCCCAGAGTCATGCTCCCTTCCTCCAGAAATCTCCCATTTCTGCTACGTAACAGAAGAGTAGGGAGGAGCCAATGCCCAGAAGTGCCTCCAGCCTCATGGGTAGGAGCCCTGCAGGGATGAGGATGCTCTGCTGTCAGGGCAAGTGCTCCAGTATATCTTCTGTGCAGGTATCATCACCCAACTACACCTTCCACAAAAGGCATCCCCAGTTTCTCTTCCATGAAAACTGAGTACTTACCCTTTTATTTTCTTGTTAGATACTGTCTAGCCCACGCAGAAATAATCTCTCCCAGACCTAGTTAAAAATGCATTCAGAGGAAGACCAGCAATCAAACAAGTCTGTCACCAAAGGCTGGACAGAACGTGCACTAAAACCAAAGAAGCATGCAGTAAGTTGAGGGCAGGTTTCTGAATTAAAACTGCTGCTCAGTGGCCCATGCTGCATCAGCTCCAGCAAGCTTCTTCCCAGCATGCTGTACACCATGAAGCAGCTGCAAAGGAATCCTGTGTATTTGAAGGAGGGCTGCCAGAAGCTGTTACAGGAAGTTTAAGTAAAGCAATTTTCTTTTTTTTTTTTTTTTTTTTAGCACAGAAAAATAAAAACATTTAAAACAAAGCACTTTTTCAGGCACTGAGCCCAGCCAGTCCCACAGAAATCTCCTTTTATATCACCGTTAAGTGAGAGGGTCAGGGGAAGCAATCCAGCTACCACAGACTCCCTCCTCCTCACTGTATTCCAAGATGCGATGGGCACAGAAACATTTACTTGTCACTACAGAGCCACAGCCAATTACACAGGTCCACTATAAATAAAAAGATTTTCTACCAATACCTTTAGGCTTGTGTGGTCACGGTTAGTCACTTACAGCAGTGGCAGGTTGGTCATTAAGTTGCAACATAAACTGAACATTAATTACCATGTTAAAATATTTAAATTCTGAATGTGGGATCTGAGAGCCTTTTTATCTTACAAAGGTATACAACGATGTGCATAAATAACATCCTTGAACAAAGATACATTTAGCCCATTATCAGCGAGGGTGATAACTCGGAGTTAACTTCTTGGAGTAAAAAATATGTAGGCACATATTCTATGTCCTTCTGTTTATTACTGTATATATATTATATCTTTTACATATGTGTAGATATATATACACACATTCTATATGACTGTACATACATTTCTACAACTACTGTGATTGTGGTACATGATTCAGTTACCATGAACTTTGAAAATACACTAATTCTTCTAAGCATCTTCATTTGTGGGATCAATTTTCTTCAAATGCAGCTGAAAAGGCAGTAGAGGAAGAACTTGGTACCCCTTTAACTTACAAATGTTACACAGAAGTGACCCAGGTAGGACCACTGGGTCAAAGATAAAAACCTGCAGACAGTCAGGAGTAACACATAGTTCTGAAATAGATCCCTCCACTTCCTACCGTCCCACTTATCTTTTAACAGCCAACAGTGATCCATGCAGCAACGGGGGAAGAAGCTGGGGTAGAATTTCAGTTCTTTATTTGTGTGGTCAGTCAAGTACATTCAGCTTCCAAAGAGTTTTAAAAAGGAGAAAACCAGAAAATACAATATATATCCACAGTGTCATAATCATTAAAGAAAAAGATAATAACATCATAAGGTTGAATCAGCACTGGAGTGTGGCTAAAGAGAGAAATTCTATGTAAGGAACCAACAGCTCACGATCACCGCAATGCATTCATCTTATATGGAACAGGCAACACCCTGTGCCTCCACTAGAAAGCTAACTAACTTATAAATAAAGGCAGCCAAATCCCAGAAAGGAAAGGCTGATGTGTAACATGCCAGTTATTACAGTGCTCACTGTCCTGACATGAATAGCAATCAGCTGTTAGGAGCCACGACCTTCATGCTATCCTAGCACCAAAGAAAGATGATCCTAACTGAATTTCTCAAACTTTCTTATTCAGAAGTAAAATTTCAACATGTTGCTTATTTTATCAACCTGTTTCGTGCATCTGTGCTGATTCACATAATTTCTACTTGCTGCTTCCTGATTTCAAAAGATTTCAAACCTAGCAAGAAATCCAGAGTCTATTCTCGTATATTATAAGACATCATCCATTTAACCTACCATTGAGCCCAACTACTTCTCTTTGGGTGTCTTGATCAGACAGGGTATCAGTCTTGATTTGAAGGAATCAGAGGTCCCATTTTGTGCTTGTGAGTAATCATCCTCACTGCTAAAAGCTGATGCCTCGTATCCACTCATGTTCCTAATTTCAGGATGTTGGACTTTTATCTGCCAGCTACTGGAGATTATTAAAACTTTATCCACTACATCGGAAGCATTTCAGTCTCAAGTACTTTCTTTCTGTTACTGATTTGCCAGAGTTATGTTCACCGCGGTGTCCCGTCTGTGGTGGGGAACTACTCTGTCCTTCACAGGTAAACTTGACAACCTTTAAAGCTGTGCAATATTCATATTTCATTACAGTCTACCAAGGAAACAGACAAATAATCCAGCTGGGGAGGCTGTCCTCTGACCGTACAATAAAAAAAAAATCAGTGCAACAAAAATCCTCCCACCATTCAGCAGCTGACTTGGGAGCTGGTCAACACAGATCCTCTGGAGCCCCAACTCCAGCACCAAAGATAACCATCACCATTTTAGCAGCATTTCACCCTTCCTGCTCCCAATCCTTAACAAACCAAAATGCTCTGCTCTACAATGCCATTTCCCAGTCCCACCCAATCTCACCAGTCAGATCTCTACTCTACAGGACATGAGAAACAATTCATTAAGGAATTAACTTACAGTTACATTAAAAAAAAAAAAAAAAAAAAAAAAAAAAAAAAAGAAGAGGCTGGTTAGGACTGGCTGTACACAAACAGAATGCCAGAAGAGACCATCTGGCCACCCCATTTCACTGCAAAACTCAGTTTCCTTCCAAGGGAACATAAAACCATCTGAAACAGAAGCTGCAACAACCTTGTAAAAATCCCAGCTCACAGGAAACACCTGCTTTACACTGTGCACACACTAGTAACTTCTGAGTTTATGTTGCTGCCCAGATGCATGTGTCCTTGTTAAAAAAAAAAAAAAAAAAAAAGGACAACCCTAAACCTAACTTACACAAGAATGTAGGTCAAATTACTTCATCTGTGTGTATTTACTTATTGCACACATTTTTCTGATAAAACTTCTATCCCTTATCAGCAAAACACAAAGGAGAGCTACTAAGGGAAAGAAGGCAGATGGTGACAAGACAGCCAAAGTCATAATGAGATCTGTCAAAGCAGACAAAGAGAAGCTATCTATAGCTTAAGATTGTATCTTTTTCAGCCTTTTTTTCCTAGCATTGGCATGTAAAAGAAGATTTCAACAAATCCTAGTAGCAGAGAATAAAAAAATCCAAATCTATGCGAATACATAAATAGCACTAAAAAGGCAGGATTTGTTGTGGGCTTCGGGGTTTTGTTTTGGGGTGGGGTTTTTTTTTTAGTATAGCAAGCACCTGTCTGTTAGCCATCTCTGCCGACAACTCCCTCCCAGACAGCATGCTGCTACACTGCTGATGCAGCACTCAGTGTGTCAGATGTCTTTCATGATTGCAGCAAAGTGTCGCTTCCCATCTAAATACAACATGGACTCTGAAATAAGGTGGAGAAAAGAGAGAACCAGATTAGTAACTCAGTATCAGTACTACAGCAACTATACAGAATTGTGAGATTAAGCAGCAGTCCACACTGTCATCAAAGCATAAAATAAATGTGGTTTGCCATGAAATCCTGTTGAATTACTCAAATGCCAATAGTTCATCTACTAAAACGATCAGTGTTCCAACAGAAAGACAGACGTCTGACCTACAAAGCCATAATGACAATGCATTAATTGGATACTTGCCTCCGTAAGTTTTGGGGACAACCTGTGGGACTTCATTTTCTGATATAAATGTAAAATGGAAGATATTGGTTGTCTGGTGCTCCCTGGTATCTGCATCATAAACCTCACTGTGTACTCGAACCTGGATGTAGTTTTTTTCTGTGTAACAGACCTACACAGTTAAGATAAGAGTTATAGTTCGTAATTTATCACTCGTGCTGAAAAACTGTAACAGGCTTCATTGCACTGTTTAACAATACAAGTCACACACTCTCATAGTGCACTGTTCATTGTCAGCGACTACAGCAGAGAGAAGTTTTTCTCCTACCTGTCCAGAAAGCAGTAATAAGGATCCAACCTCAACTGGCCTCTGAAACATGATATCGTCAACAGATACAATAAAAGGTCTGGAACTCCTGAGCAAGAAAAAGAGAAATTTCTTCTCAAAAATAATGGAAGTGTTTGGAAAAAATTAAAATATTTCATTGTCAGCATTTTAATGAAGGGTTACTAGAAAATAGATCTCAAACACAGGCCACAGGAGGTGGAGAATTATGTCATCACCCAAGACAAAAATAACTGGCAGAAACCTCTCGCATGCATAAAAATACACACTCTCTAAAGATACGTTATTGCATCATTACTGTACCTTACAACTTACACTTGCTAGGCAATCTTCATGCCATCATTGCTTAGGCCTCAGTTTTCCAAGCACTGAAACAAAACTCTTCACTATCAGGCTACGCATGCTTCGTTAAACCTATGCATAGATCTTTGTGGGGTGACGACCTCAGTCACACTTTCTAAGCACAAGCAGTTGCTGGAAGTTTGGAAACCATTCCTCTTGTGTACAGAATGAAAAGATGTAATATTTATTTGATAGAATGTCTTTTTTACATGGCTAGAAAGAAAACATTTCTTCAAAAGACAATCTCAATAGATTGAAAAAAAAACCAAAACAAAACAAAAAACAGAAAAAAGGATGTATTTTCAATCTTGGCATGTAATGCTTAAAAACCAAGCTCCAAGGAGCGAGATTAAAATCTCTTTGTAAGTACAAACAGAAACAGGGCTGTGCACTAATATCTAAAGTAGGATCTTGCACTATCTAGGTCTTTTCTACTCATTAGCTTCCCAACCTACATATATGTGCACTGTGCTCTGGATTATATAAATATTGCAGGTCTACAACTCACCCATAGCTGCAAGCAGTTGCCCATCCCAGTTCAAACGCTTTTCTCATGAGAAAACCCCCAAATATCCTATTGAAGATATTCCGTTCCTGTATGTAGAAACAAAAAAATCAAACTGCTGTATTACACATATTCCTTTCAAAGCATTGTGTTGAAGTCTGAACTTCAGTTTGCAGTATTTAACAGAACTCCTAGTATCTGAACGTATAAAAAGCACTACTGAAGTGTATACGCAAAAGTCAAAATGGCTGAGGCAACTTAATAAGAGCTCATCCAACTCATTTGACAATGTAAGATAAAAACTCAAAATTGTTTCGGCAGACAAAGCCCAACTTAAACACTTTGCAAAGGAATTTTTTTACACAAAATGAATAGTCTGGTAAAAAAAAAAAAAAGTAGTAATTAAAGATCTTCCATTTGCAGTGACAATCCATGCAGAAAATAGAATAACGGCAAAAGAAACTAAGATCTAAATACATTGCAAGGACTGCAGAACTGAAACAAGATAATGGATTGACTAGTCTTACAAGACAATTCATAACTAACTGGTTTCTGTAATTCATTAATACTTTTCAAAATACCTGAGGATGGCAAATCTGTAGGCCTTTTAGCTTTGCATCTTCCATCCACACTGAATTGGGTGGTAATTTACGACTCCGGAAACTTACTGTCCTTTGGAAGAGACAATAAACTTTATAGCCCACACCAGCAGAATTCAGCAAGTGAAAAATGCACAAGCAGACAAACAGCAAGTGCAGACACACACTGGAAAAAACAAAACAAAACAAAAACAACAAAAAAAACACCAAAAACCCCAGAAACACTATCACTAAACACTGTTCCAACTGACCTTGAAGTCTTATCTAAAATGATACTTTGATTTGTTACTGCAATAAGCCTACACTCTTGATCTTTCAAAAACTTCTGCTAATGTTTAAGCTTATGTGAGTGAACAAGCTTAAGAAAGGTACATGAAAGGAAAGATGAATCACACCCACAGAGTGCACACTTTGTCAGAAAACTCTTACTCTTTTTTAACTCATAATATGAATTAGAAGCACACAATGAGCTAACAGAGTAATAAAACATCAAACATGCCAACGGTTTGAGGTTTTCAGATCCAGACAGAATGTGTGCGAAACATCTGCTAATTTTAAGGGAAAGCATGTCTCACTTTTGTAAACAGCTTTGAAAATAACAGTTGTATAGTGCTAGTAAGTTAAAGAAATTATAAATTATCCACAAGTACAACACCACACTAATGCCATTAGGCACTGTTCTAACACCACTGACACTGGACAATTTCACACAAATCTCAAGTATAAGAGAAGTACGCCAACAACAGTGCCCCTCAAATAATGTTGTCAGGTATTACATTTAAAACACATTGCAAGGTTACCTAGTCAAAATATGGCCAATTCCTGCCCTCACAGGTTTTCTTCTAGATATCATGTCAGAAAACTCTTAGGTTGTGCAAGTCACACGGCTGCAAAACCATTCGATTCCCTTATTTGGTTAAACATCACTAAACTTTTTCCTCAAGATTATTCCTAATAGCTTGCTCAGAAGCACTTTGTGCTTACACCCCCACTTTCACCATCTTGGCACAGCTAACACTCCTTAACAGAAAACTCTTTTAAGACATGCAGACATCACATTAAAGTTTGTACCTCTGTTTCAAATAAAATGCCACTGAATTTAAATGGTGAAATGGGAAAACAAAATGCATGCATTTATTCCAGACTACCCTCTTACAAATACCCACTCAAAAGGCACATTACTTTTCTCTTTCTTAAGACTTTAGCTCTTCACCCCTCCCCTTCTTGCCTTGTGTCCAATGTATTAAGGAATATGTCATGAATAATTTTTCTTTCTTCTGCAGTGGGAGCCATTTTCAGTAAGGAAGCAGTGCTGAAATCAATCCTCTTCAGCTTGTTCACTAAACATTACCAAAAAAAAAAAAATCATTAGAGTTCAAAGAAAACAAAAATTTGGCTTCGCTCTGAAGACTTTAACCTGGAATGAGCTGTCTCTTTCCTTTTTTATTTTCCCCCCTGTAAGTTGAAAGCTGTAACTTCTCAGTCCCATAAATTCAAACAGAAGTTTGGCTTTTAGAATTGACTGCAAAGTTCACTGCTACCTCACCAATGTGGTGAAGATACTTTATGCATATACAATGATACCCACCCACCACTCCTACAGGAAACTTAAGTACTCCCCTCAAAGTACAGAAAAACATTCAACAAGAAACCCTACAGAACAATCAATCTTCTTCAGGTTTTGCCAATGGTGCAATAATGCAAATTAATGACAGAACTCATTACCATGGGCCACAATAACTGATTTTTTTAGTTTAAAAGATCTTCTGTTCAGATTATTCAGTCTTTAACGTCTCTCCAATTCTCAGCTTTACAATTCCAGCTTGAAGCAAAAGAAGATGGAGCTACACACTCCTTGCCTGGTTCCCCCAATTTCTTTTTCTGAATTTCCTTCCAAAAGGAACATAGGCACCCAGACAGGTAAGGAGCTGTGATGCACCTAGCAGGCCCACTGCACTCGGATCTGCAGCCTGGAAATGGAGAAGCCTAGGGAGGTGACAAGCACATCAGGAGTGCCCTCGTCTGTCAGTTTAGCCAAAGTTTCCAAGAATGTGATAGCAGGCTTTTAATCTCCCTTACACTACTGACATACACAAGACAGAATGAAAATCTGATTTTAAGCAAATTAGAAGCATTTCTAAGTAGCAGAACTTCTGAAGTTTGCTTCCTTCCAGCTATTAAGTTGAACCTGAGGCCTATGTGCATACTACCAGGAAATATGACATACATTCCCCTTGCTTGAAGATTTCTTCTTCCTTAGGGCTCTCTGGAACGAGTGGATTAACAAACGCTGGCCTATGGACAGGAATTTTTTTCTAAGTTACAAACCTGACAATAAATTGTCCTGTAAATACATTATAACACGCTTCCATTTTTGCTTACATACACAATACAAGACAAAAAGATATACTTCAGGTTATATCATAAATACATTATTTCATAATGTGCAGCTGCCAACAGAGTATCACATTAGCTTTAACTCTAAAGAGACAGTTAAGCAATCCAACCACTACCTAGTATAATTAAGAAAGAGTAAGTGATGCATCTATGCTTCTTAAAGAGCTAAAACTGTACCCATAGATTATAACGAAGATTATTCAAGCAGAAAGCTTTTTAGAAACTCTGCAAATGAAGATGTGATAATGTAGGACAGTCTAAAACAGTTACACAAAACTTGAATGGCATAATTCCTCCTGGAATAAAACGAGCACCGTGCCATAGCTAGCAAGTGTTTGTATAAACTATGTGTTCCCATGACAGCCTTATCAACAGCCAAAAGCTGTTTACCATATGTACCACTTATCAAAGAAGATGATATGCAGCTTCCTTAAGCACAAATTTTGATGTTTATTTTACTGTACTAATAAGTTTACTCTAACCTAATTATGTAATATTTAATTATTTCTTTTCACAAGAAAAGGCAAACACTTATTTTCCAGAACCATTCTTCCCCATAATTTCTAATTATTATTCTTCTACTTTCAACATTTATACAAATACTCAGAACGATAAAGGGGGGGTGTGGTGTGTATACATATATATATATATATATACATGTACACACACACACAAAAGTACCTGCTGAACAATTCACCTCTACCTGAAGCCTTTACTTAGGCTGGTGACAAGGGGCATGCAGAGAAGATCTTTTCACTTGAAACAAACTGCTCTTTCCCAGTTTTCTAAATCTCTGGATTTTGGAGACACACCAGCTCCTTCTCCATTGCAGAGCTCATTCTCACTCTCCTCAGCTCAGACCGCATCTACACTGGCTCTCCTGTCCAAGCCCCAAGCTGCTGAGATACAAGTCTGCTATGTCCAAAACCCACATAACCATGTTTCTGTGGCACCATCACCAATCTAACATACCCTGTAACCTCTGAAAGGTTTTTACCTCACACAGAATAAATATTCTCCTCATATGGACAGAATGCTTCCAAAACACAACTGGCTCGTGGCCAGCTGGCTTGAAGAACAGCCACTGAAGTTTGTATCTATCTGCCCAAGTCCATATAGGCTTGTCCTCAGTCAACCTGCTACTGTATACTTACATCATATTTTATATAATTCTTTTGCAAAGTAAGTCTTTAACATGGGAACCAAAATGGAAGTTTGGGGTTTTTAAAATGTGTAGTATGTTAATGGGTTCTAAAAAAATCTCACAAATCTGAAGGAAACCAACCTAATAACTACTTCTAATGTTACCAGGACTAAATAACTGTCAAGCAAAATCCCTTCACTAAACATATCCCTCTTCATTAAATACAGGCAATTATTTAGACGAGTTAGAAACAGAAAACTGTTTACTACTTTTGCAGGCTATATAAGAAAGAGGTAGGAAATACAACCAATTTTTCTGCTGCTGGAGTCATAAACCAAAACCGAAACTGAGCAGCCTGATAGTTTAATGACCAAGGAAATAAAGAGAGTAAAACCGTAAGAAAATTTGTTTGTTTGTTTTATTGTTAAGTTCTGCAGGAATACTTATCAGTTCCATGTTACTTACATTAACAAGTTTTAGGCTGAATTATTCTGATGACACCTACCATGTCTGTTAGGGAATTAATGGTATTATTCACTCAAAGACTATTTAACGATTGAAACTAATTTTTTTCCATTTTTATGGCAAGAAGACAATTCTAACAACTACTAGAATGCAGGTGGGTTTCTAGCAGACTCATTCACTTCTGTGTTCATCAGGCCAGTTGCTCAAGCACAGGGAAAAGCTGTTAAAAAAGAAGGTCAGATCCAAAGACAAACAGCAATTTCTGGTATTATCTGACTGCTGAAATCAGTGCTCTGAAGCTTGCCACGAGAAAGTAGCACTTGCCAGCAGAAAACACTGACTATGTGATTAATCACCTACACTATATGGCTTCTACACATACATAGCAAGCTGCCATCTTTGCTATTTTCACCACAGCAGGAGTCTGAAAACTAGTTTTCTGTCCTACAAATTACCGTTTATTCTCTGGATCCCGGGCCACCATGACAAAGGTTGCATCTAACACAGGGCTGTAATCACCATCATGTAGCTAAGAGAGACAGGAAACAATTACATTTTTAAACTCTAATATTGTAAATGCACTTAGCAAGCTATTCAGCTGACATCAACAATGCCATCACACTGTTAATGTCATTTACTTTCACATTCTGTTATCCCTTCCAAGGTCTCTCACAACAGGCCAAAGAGAATTAAATAACACAAATTAAAACCCTAGTTTCAGGAATTCTGCAACATGAACATTAAACAGGGAATGATTATTAACTACTGCTTTCAGCTGGGAGGGGAGGAAATCGCCACAGGAATTGTAGAAGAACCCACTTACCATTTATTCTGAGAAACACCAAAATATTTTTTGTCACTATCAAATTGCCACAAATGCCAGCACTGCGAGGAGTTCAGACGACAAAGGTGTATCATTACTTTCTACATCAGAGACTTTACTTAAGGAGACCAACTGAATAAAAAAATATTTACCTGTTTATCTGAATTATAGGCACTAATACCACTTAAGTGTTTATAGCATATCTTTGTTACTCTAAATAATTTAAATTGACATTTTAGTTAAATAATCAATTGACAGTAAATATTCAACAGAAATGTTAAGGATTTTTAAATTTAATTATTAATATTCCTTTTGCTTCCTGCACAGTGCAGCCTAGTTACACCCTTCATTTCTATTATTTAGTATTTAATAACTTGTTACAAAAAATAGGGTACACAGTAGATAAGATGAACATATGAGATACAACTTAATACTGAAACTGAATGCCAACATTAAAATTTATAAATCTAGAAAATGCAAAGGTATAAGGAAAATAAAGTGTTTCAAAAGCACAGAGAAACTTATTTAAGAACATGTAGAGCACAGCCACCTGTTTTTTCCGTAGGAGTACAGTGTTACAGTTTAATTACAAAATGATGGTTAAGAAAAATGCAGGTCTTGAAAGAAAGATTAGCAACAGAGTATCTTGCTGCACCTCGACTACTGGAAGTCATCTCGGTCTTGAAACACAAGGGCTGTCTCAAGCCCTTCAAAACCAGTTATTCTAAAAAACATAACTCAGATTGCTAACGTCATCATCTGGAATTCCCCTTAAGCACCTCATCCCTGTCATAAGATGGAGAGAAGTTACAGGAACTAACCTGCAGCATGTGCATCTTCACTTCCATTGAGGTCCTCCCAACCCAAGAGACATTGCCTGTGAATTTGATGTCACAATCTGGATATATAATCTTCTTGCACAAATCTGCAAGACAAACATTAGAGGTTACTGGAGACAGATCACTCACATCTAATATTAGAACGACTGGATTCTCTAAGACCTTTTTGTGTTTTGCAAGTGGCAACACACGCACAGGCAATCCAGGAAAGACAACTGTTGCAAGGGACCATACTGCTAGCCTGCAGTTTCTGCCTTCTCAGACTTCTAAAGCCAGAACAGGAGGAACAAGTAGGCACACAGGAGGCAGATGGATGTCAGACCCAAAGAGGTGTTCAGCAGAACACACGACACAAGCAAGGTCCAACTCCACCAAAACAAACGCTGTTCAATAATGAAGCTAAGGAAACTCACGTGCCAAAATAAAACCAGAAGTGCAGGAAGCATGAAAGTTGTATTTTGAAGAGAAGGGAAATACAAAATGCTGAAAAGCATCTACAAAATCCTCTTCCCTCCTCCCTTCAACAAAAGCCACAGTGCTCAGAATTCAAAGCTGAAACAAGACGAAGTAAACTAAACAGGAGAGTGGAGAAGGCATCCTCAGTAACAACCATGGGAAGGCAGTAGCGGCTGAAAGAGTGAGACAAACAGATGAAACCATTTCTACTGACCAAATTGCCACTTACTGATTTTATCCACCAGAGCTGTAACTATTGATAAGGGAGACCTTGGCTGCATTTCCTGCTTGGTATGAGTGTAGCAAATAAGAACTGTGGAGAAACCAAAAATGGAGTTAGCTCTTTAACAGAAACCTCAGCATAGCAGATCAAAGTCAACTTCATGAAGCATGAGGAGTACCTGAAAAAAACAAACTGAAGTACCATACTGTAGGAGTGCACAACTTACACATTTTCACGTATGTAACTCACAGGATTGCTATAAAGAAAACAGTAATTCAGCAGCTGTCTCAGTTATATGCATATTTATTTACTACAAAGAGAAATTTAGCTGAGCACTTTAAAATCAACCCACTGCTCCACTTCCAATCCCACGTAATCTCTTCCCTCTACCCCTGCAGCCCACTGTCTGAGATCCTTCCTACCTTCTGTTTTGATTTCATGCAGGTTGCCCAAGGACACATGCCATCTGAGGACTTATTTTCAAATACTGATTCATTTAAAGAGGTGCAGATTAGATTAACTGTGCATTACAGGCATGAAAGCATAGTCAGAGGTATTTAGCACACTGTAATTACTACTAGCCAAACCACTATTTAACTAATTAGCTCTGTTCGTAAGAGTACATGCAGGTAAACAGACTGCTGTCAATAATACAAGGCTGTAAAGATTTTTTTTTCCCTAGTACTCGTGTGATTTTCACTCAACACTGATTTCCATAATCAAGAGTATCTGTACTTCATGAGATCAGAGAGAAGGAAGAATTCTGTCCTTCCAGGTAATCTTTTTTTTTTCCCCTAAAATTACATAAGTCGCAATTCTAAAAACTGTTATGCCTATCAACTCATGCCATCAATATGATCAGTAACAGTTTGAATGGGATTTATCAGAACCTTACCACCAAAGACAAAAAACTAAGTCAGCCAGACCTTTATGCAGTACATCTGCTGAGATCACAGAATATATTGGGGTGGGAGGGAGGAGGGGAGAAGAAACAGTACATTTTCCTGTGAAAACTGCTGACCACCATCCTGAATATGGTGTCACTGGGACAGAATCTTGATTAACCCAAAATGATACATCCCCAGCAGTACTGTCTGAAGCCCAGTATGACTACAAACAAGGCAAAAACGTTCTGTGCTGCAACACAGATCTTAGGAAAAACCTAAGATCTTCACAGATTTCCATGGAAAATAAACAAGGCACAGAATGCAAAACAGGCTCATCTCAGTTACCAACTGAGGGTAGCCAATAGTTTCAAGTCTCCTTTTCTAATTCAGGACAGGTACTGAAGCCAGTATCTTCCACATCCCAGAAAGAACTATAAATCATCTAGCTATTTTGTCTCTCCTTTATAGACAGATGACATGCATTCACTTGTTTCCCTGCCTTCCTCCATTTTGCTCATCTGGACCCACAGAAAGGCTTTCTATCCTGCCAAAAAAACCTGTTCTGTTCAGAAATTTCCCTTAATAAGCACTGATTCTTTGTCAAAAAACTCCATCAAAATGCTCCCAACCAGCTACTGAACTTTGATGAAGAAGGAAGTCACCTGGTGATATTTTAAGATAAAAGTATCTCCAAGTCACATCAACATCCTAGCACTTACTTCAGCTGCAAAACAAAAGTCAAAAATCTTGAGCTTTTAAAGACCATGAAAAGGAGAAAAAAAAAAAATTAAGAAAGCTAACTCATGCAACAACTGAGTTGGTTTTATCCTTAACATCAATTTAGAAACAGAACCCAAGAATTTATAGCGAGTGTTTTTCATTGGTTCTCAATGGATACATTCTGTTCTTTCCAGATTATACTCTCTTCTCTCCAAATGGAAGATTAAAACATTTGCACCTCACTATCTGTTGGGTTTTGTGGGTTTTTGGTTTGGCTTGTTTTTTTTTTTTTTTTTTTTTTTTTAAAGAGAAAAATCATGCGTTTTAATTTGAAACAGCACACTGCAAATTTTATCTGATTTAACATTTAATGCAAATTCATAATCTAGGATCATTTCTCAGTAAATTATTCTTGTAGTTGGTCTTTTACAAAATTGGCAGAGGTAAGAAGCTGAAGCTGAGCAATTTTGCTTCTGTCTACTCTTTATCATCCTTCCTCCTCTTTCATCATCAGTATCTTTTCTTTTTTTCCTTTCCCTCTGAAATAGCACACTGACATGATTCCCTGCCTAAGGTCACACTGTATCATACCACACAGTGCTCAACAGTACTCAAAATCACTTTGTCTGCATTACTTGTGCATTCTTTACAAGGGCATAGATACATACCTCCTAAACTGTCAAGATCTTCAAGTATCCTTCCAAACCTGTAAGATACGGTTTTTGACAATTAAATGCCTACACACAAAGTAAATGAAAGTAAACACTTTCCTGTATGTGTAACATGGTTGCTTTGTTACCTTACACTGTTGTGTACATTCAGGTATTTTTCTCTTATTTCAGGTTGACTTCCTAGAGGTAGAATAACTTCCAAGTAGCTATCCTTCATTCTTCTAGGAGGGAGATCTTCCTGCCGTTTTGCCAGTAAAGTATGAAGAGCTTTTCTTTCTTGCATTGCTTGCACATGATCCCTGGTAAGAAAAAAACCCACCTGATCTGGAGTATGACAACAGAACTGCAATCTTAGCTAAAAGATGGCACACAGAAGATTATCAAAATGAAAACGCAAGAGTAGTAAAAATAGCATGACATAGTAAGTATGCCTTGAAAAGAAAGTGAAATCTACATAATGAGATGTGCTAAGCAAGACTACTGCAGAAAACTTTTAAATAGTTTTGTGTACAAGTGGCAAGTACATACTTTGCGCTAAAGACATGAACAAAATTTATTTAATTCTGAATGCTACAGAAATGGTTTCCCTTGAAAAGAACAAATCAGACATAATTTAACCTATATTTCTCTCTTCCTACCCAGTCATCTTACAACTATACAGAGAAGTTATAGAAAGAAACAATACAGAAAAGGGAGCACTGTCCCTCCAAAGCTGCCTTTCCAGCACCACCAAGTCAGAGGGGTAGCAACGCTCACAAGGGAGTAAGGGCCAACTTAATGTCACTTCCTTCTAATCTACCAAGTTGGTTCCTTGCACAGTTATCTATGATAAGCTTTCCTAACACTCTCTCTTACCTGTTCCTCCAAAGCTCCCTCACCTTAAAAGTGCAATTAGACTGAATAAAGCAAATTATTTCATAACATCCCTAGAATCAACAACAAAGCATTAAAAACCTAAAGGTTAAAAATGCAACAGCTCCAGTATAAAGCCAAGGAGTATGCAAAACTATGAATCAATTTCATAGAGCAAGAGAAGGCATAAAACACTATGTAACCAAACTCAATCTTAAACCTGTGGATATGTGCCATTCATTCAGGTGTGCACGCTGCATTGGTAAGATCTGAGTGCCACTGTGTTTAACAAAACCAATTAAAAAAAAAAAGAAAGAAAGAAAACGAGAACCTTTTCACCAAAGAGAAAATTTGTCTTAATTTTTACTTTGGTTGAAGTCTGGGTAATAGAGATTTAAGATTAAGACTTTTTTGGCTTGAGTTTTATTTTTGGAAGAGGAGAGGTACAAAGCAGTCATGCTTCAACACATTTATAATCCCTCTTTTCTGTTTAATAATTTTGAGGGAAATATGAATAATCCATGATCAAAGAGAGTAAAAATCTACCAGAAAATTTCAGTTAGTTTTGTTTGTTTTAAATATGATATATGGTTTACCTCATCTGGGCAACATAACTATTGCAGAGTCCAGAGAAGACAAATAACTACCTCCTCGAGAGGGTTAATGTTTGAAGTGATACCACTGCATAGAAATAGAATATACTAGATGACTAAGGAAAGATGAAATGTCCAAGATGATGTACCTTTATGCTTTTTAAAAGATTTGTTTCCAAGATCTTTCAGTGAAAGGTTTAAGAGAAATTAATCAGAGGGTAAATCAGAAATTTATCTACAAACACAGAGAAACCAAACAATAAAAATTTAACTATATTCTGTTTTCACCAGTCCCATCCTGGCTCCTCTAAGGTTAGCAGCAAAACTCTTCTTGACTTCAGCTTCAGAATGTACTCTTCAACATAAGGAAGTATTGGGCTTGAGGCAGTAACATTTTTCCACAGATAAATACTGTTACACACTGCAGTACTAGTCATACAGTAACAATACTTCATCTGAATATTAACTAATACTTACCCTAAGCATTCTGAGAAATTACACTATTTCTGAAATGGCCACAACTCTATCTAGATTATAATTAGTAATGAACAGATTAATCATTTTAATTACAGTTTAAGTACAAACCCAGACTAAATATATAAGGAAGACAGCTCTTTCTACTACAAAATGCCACTGGTCTATACAAGAGAAATCACGAACCAAAGTTTCCTTTCAGAACAATTAACGGCTGAAGGCATTCCTCCAACACACATATCTCTCCTCTTTCCCAGCAATCCAGAGGTATGTGCATCAGCCCTTCCCTAGTGCCCATTTCAGGACCCCTGTCAAGCTATTCTCTTAGGTTTGTCCTCTTTAGTCATTCTGTGGCCTAGCTCAATTAAAGCACCGGCTGTTCAGTCTCCACATGTAACAACTCTTTGTCACTCCATTTTAAAAGTGGGATCTCAAAGGCTACATGATCCATGTCCTCCAAACCTCTCCATATTAAACCTGTCAATCTCAAGCACCCCCAGCTATGGGCTCCCCAGCTTTACTTCTTCATGGTAGTTGAAGCATATAGTTTGCAAGCCATTTCTGCTGTATTTTATACAGCATAAGAGATGTGCCTATCTAAGAAAAACATTGCTGTGGCAATCATGGCTTCAGTCTGCTCTCCTTCCAGGATGGGAGCAGTGGGGGAAAAGAAATAGATGGAAGATCAGATTTGACCAGAGCCCCCTAAAATCTTGATCCTTGGATGATACTTCCATATGGCATGGCTCCTCTCCAGCCATTCTGGGCTGTAGGAAAAGCTTTTTTAAAAATCAACTTCTAGAGCTGTTGTCAACTGACCTACCAAAAATTTCAAGCACTCTTCTGCTTAGATACTAAGCAAAAATCAGCCTCCCAGATGCAGGTATTTTCTTTAGCATGCCTATAAACCTGTTTAGATAAAACTAGTTGGAAGGCCTGGACACATCAGACACTCCACCCAGGAATGCCTCTCTCCATTTCCCTATCAGTGCACAAAGTGTGAAAGAAGAGCTCAGCAAACACAGCCATAAGAAAATTAATAATCAATACAATAAATATGGTACCAATCAAACTGCAGTATCTAATTCCCCTAGACTGCTATACTGACTTTTTCAGAACTGTTAACAGTAGAGGATTACAGTCAGCTCTGGTTTATTCAACGTAATGCAGGGGGAGAAAGGTAACCTGGATAAAGCCAAAACATCACTGATTTAAATTATATGTAAATTAATCTAAAATTAAGTTACAGCAGAAAAAATAAATGCTTGGGATATTCCTGACTAAAGAGACACCGATGCTGAGTTGACAATTCTCCAAAGTGACAGGAATGCTGCCAGGCCATTTGCAATGCAGCCTGCTTCACACTGAACCAGCTCAGCTGTCTCTGAATCCAGTGCAGGATAAATCCACCTTGCAGGTAATCCACCTACTGGTAACTCGAGAGGTAACAGCAATGTAACATTTTCAGACAGGCTCTACAGCTCTTAAACTTCCACTGGATTCAAAGATAATAGGAGAATCTTACAAGCATAAAGATCACATATTTTGTTTCTTTGGTGCTAAAGATCTTCTGCCAGAGAAGTCTCAGAAGTTTGTGATCCACAAAGTAACAATTCAGAAACCTTGTTTGAATTACTTTTTAGCTGGATCTTTTGTCTTCCCCAGCCATCAAGCTAACATTGTTAACTTCTACTACCACAACCCTGAGCTCTACCTGGGTTTCACAAATAAAGTAAAATATGTTTAATGTACACTGTACCTCCAGTTGGTAGATGCTCCCACTATATCCCTCAATCTGCTCCGCACTGCAAGAAAGAAAAAAAATCAAAGCAAATCAAGCTTAGCTCTGCAAGTGATGAATATGAGGTTGCCTGGTGCTAAAATGCACAACCCTCATCCCAGAACAGGAAAATTAAGCAAATTCATGCAAATAGCAGCCCAGAAACAAAAATTTGGCCAAATTTACTGATGCTGTTAGTAGGCATATCACAATAATGGGTTGAGTAACATAATTCTGTAGCTTGTTGTGTATAGCCAACAAAGAGTGTTTGTTAATGCAAACACCTGCAGTGCTAATTAACAGCTGAAAGAGCGGATCAAGATCAGATTGAGGAATTAAGATGTGAAAATATTTCAAACTAAACAAAAATCAGAAAGTCGAAAAGAACATAAAAAGGAACAATGTAGCTGGGAGACAGGAAATGATGAGAGTACTATTTAAATAATTCCACCCATGAAGGCAGGTAATTTCAGAAGACTGGCCATTGGCAGCAAGGTTTCATCGCCTAAATTCTAAGCAGCCTCAAAAAACACAGTTTTAAGACACTAAAGACAGGCACTGATTCTGGCACTGTTTGCACTATCAGAGTTAATACTAGTTCTGCACAAGTTTTTCCTAAATTTCAGTAATAAGCTGCATAAGCAGTTTTTCTACTCTTTCCTCACATGAGGCTATTAAGTGTGCTAAGGTCCCATCAAATGTATCAAACTGCTCCATCCCTGTAAGGCAAGTCAATGTACACTGTTTGGAAACATCTGAAAACAAGCAGCAACAATTCCCAAGCTCAGAGCAGAAGTTGAGAATTGTATAGTAGGGATTCATTGCTTAGTTACAAAGACTTTTATACAAGGAGGTTCAAATATTAGGACAAAATAGTTAGGGACATATCAAGGAAGGGCTACCAAAAAAAATCCAAAATTTCAGGGTGAAACAGAAAGAGGGCTGCTGGCGACTCACGAGCTGATCCTTTATAATTGTGGGTTATGAGACATCATCATCACAGGGCTTGGCACTTTTCAAGCTAAATGCCCGGTCAGAGTATTCACAGGGATCGGGAAGCTGTCCTGTGAACCCTGGAGTGAGCACAGCCTGATTTCCTAGGTATTAAATCACATACCCCTCTCTCAGCCAGATCCACTCAGCTCTGACCCCCCTCCTCCCCATACAGTCACTTTAGTTTCTGCTGCTTTCCTGCCAAAGTCCCCACCACCACCACAACACCCCCAGCCCCCCCTTTCTCATTCCTTCCCCTGCAACACCCTCAGCTCCCATCCCTACACTCCCAGCCCGCTTCTGTTCTGCCTGCTCTCCAGACAAGCACCAGCATGAGCTGTGGTTAGCCCAGGGGCAGGCAAGGGGCTGGCTGCTGGCCAGCCAGCACGCAGATCCCAGTCACTCGCCTACTGCCAGCAAACACCCTGGTCCGTGGCCGACCCCAACACTAGCTCTGACACCCTAACGAACCTCTGATTTGGAGGCCAATTTTCACAAAGCTTGTGGAAACACGTTTCTCCTCGAGATCTGTGCTCGTCTATTTTGGCTGACATCAAGCAACAAAAGGTTCTGGAAGAAGAGGGGAACAAGAAGGTAGGCAGACAAAGACAAAATAAATTGCTTATGCCTCATTTCTTTAGGAAATTAGGCTAAAAACATGTTCTGAAATTGGAAAAATTCTACTACTAATTCTAAGAACAAAACAAATTTAAATGAAAGAAACTGATTGAAAATCTTAAGGTTGATTTTTTTTGGAAGGGGGGAAGGTCTGATTCTTGTTTCCTTAAGAAGCAGAGGACTCCTTTACAGAATAGGTACTACTTTCCTGTTACTCATACTCCACCTGTGAAGCTGCCATAGCATGCATTGGATCAATACAGTGTCAGCAGAAACAGTTACAGCTTCTAGAACACAAAACCTCAATTTTCCAACAATGTGCAGACTGTGCTGGGATGGAGGGGGAATAAACAGCACTTTCTCTTTGCTTAAATTAAGTTCATCTTCCTTTTCAACTCTAAAGAGGTAAAAAGCTCTGAAAAAAATCTCAGGTCCAAACCTGCAAACATGTATATACGCTGTTAGTCCCATTTCATACTTCTGATTTCAATTTTAGGCATACAAGTAAACATTCACCAGACTGACACCACATAATTCTTATTTTAACAATAAAAGGGACAAAGCGTGAAAGTGTTTCTAAAATGTTGCCAAGCTAAATCTAGTCCATTTTACCCGCTCGTAAGTACATCGTTTTTCTCTTTCCCCCTCCTTGGGAAGACAATATTGCTCCTCTAGGTATTTAGATATTAGTTACCTTACAAAAGAAATTTGAGTAATTAAGCATCAAATCCATAAACTCTGTTTTCTTATTTGGCAAATGTCTTAAATGTGCAAAACAATTACAGCAAACAGGGTTTATCCGTTGTTATCATGTTGCATATTTCACAGTACCTCCTTAACTGTGATCAGTGGATCATTAATGCCAGAGCAGCCGGGTTTGAGGTTATTTGCACCGCGCAGTGACGAAGGGCACGAGGGCAGCTGGACAAGATGGCTGCATTCACCTCTGCCGATGAGATCCCTGCCCCCCTGGACTGCTGCCTCCCCGGGCTGGACCCAGGTCCAGGTAGGCCACTACAATGTATTTTACCACCAGTTTTAATATAGACCTTGGTCTGGACTTCAGTGAAAGATGCCGGTTCTAATGCCTAGAAGGAAGCTAAGTACTACAGGAGCTGCTGCACAAGAGATTTTGTATCCCACAGGCCTCTCGGAAAGGTGTTAACCAGCACACCACCAGGCATACAGTGGGCCGACAGAGACCTAGTGCAACAATATTGCCACAAATAAGATCAGAGCCATTCACTGAAGGGCAAAGAGGCTTTAAGCAAGTCAACGGAGAAGAATAATAGCATCTCATTTTTCATAAATGCTAAAGTATGGAAAAAGAGTAGCTGAGTAAGTTCAGTGTTATAGAAAATATTAAAATATGTACAGATTACCACAACACACCGTTATTCACATGAATGGGTAAGTGCCCTGCAGAGTGGAAAACAAAAGTTAGATTAACAATTGAAAGAAACAATGCAAACTACATCTAGGAGTTACCTGATTATTCTACCTGCCTGAGTTCCACTTACATACATGTTCCTTATTTTTAGTAAGCAACTGTAGGCAACCTGTCCTTGCCTGACTTACACTCAGTATCTCTGTGTTTTCAACTGAGTTCATCCTTTCCTTCAGTGCCAGCCTTCCAGCTCCTTTGGCTACTGGCTCTGTGTAGTAGCTGCTTGCAATGTAATTCAAATCAGTTTTTCAAACTTGGTGCTACCATGTACGTTGACAAAAAACACTATTAACTTTGGAAAGAATATCTGGAGCATTTTTCAGGAAGCGGAAAGTTATCTCAGAGGAAACTTCCAAAGTCCTGCTTCGTGTCACCTTTGGGACAACCATGGAAGAAGTAACGGCATTCACAACTGGGACCCAAAGTTGGGACGAAGCATGTGAAAAACTAGTCAGAGTAAGTATTTGGTGTCTTGTGAAAGCATGGATACCAAAATAAAGTAACTAGTTTACGTATCAGCAAAAGTTTGTATAACATTATTTAAATGTTACAATTTTGGAACAGAATCTTAAATATTTACAGCTATTATAGTCCAAAAAATATTAGCATTCCTTGGAAAGAAATCAGAGTCAAGGCCAGGGTGGCCTCACTGCTTCACAATTGTCACTGCCCTTCTAAGTGGTATCATTATCAAATACCCAAATAAAAGAGCAGGGTAATATTTGCAAGTATGCAACATTCTGTATCCTTGCTTCTCTCCTTTACCCTCCCAAATTACTATTTATTGGCAGTAACAGAAAAAAAGTTCTCTATCAACAAATAACACTCATTTTCTCTTTTACTGGATAACCTGTGGTTTCTCTTTAGAGAACAAAGGGGAAAATTACATCTCAGAAACAAGCAGAACTCCATGAAGAAACCATTTCTACCTGGCTCCAGCCCTTTTCCTCCTCCCCTTTTCTCAGCACATGGGATTAGAATGAACGAAGACTTTTTTAAAAGCTTCTAAAACAGGAACATTACGGTTTATTACTATTAGAGCACCAAACCAGTCTTTCAACACAAAGGTCTATTGACAAGAGCATTTTCACAAGGCAATGCTGCTGATCTGATTAAAAGATTTCTCCAAGTTTACGAAATTAATGGTACCAACACATAAAAAGATCTGTAAAACATTATTTCTACTCAGTTCATACATTTCTCGGTCATTCTGTCCAGTTACCATAATACCTGTCTGTACTACGTTGACTTTCTGTCTAGAGCCAACTTGAGAAGCAGTTGTCCCTCCAGAAAAGAATCACACACTCTTCCAAGACTAAAGAACCAGATGAGCCTCTAAAACTGCAACTTCAATGATTATGTATATTTGTTGCCATTAACCTCCAAACACACACAGTGTTTGTCTGCTACTTCCTGAATGCTTACACTATAAGCTAACATTCAAGGGCATGTTCATTATCCAAACCATATTAACACATGAAGGGCCACCACCTGAAATAATAAACTCCTTAGAAACACTGCTAAATCTTCCAAAGTACAACCAATTACTTTACCTTCAGACATGTCAGGAAGCACTGGGGAGCCACTGGTGCCAGAAGTGAGCATCCTAGCCAGAACAGGAGGAAGCTTCCTCATGGTGCACAACCTACAGGCAGAGCAGAAGAACTTAGTGTCACTAAAAATAATGCCATGAAAATAACTTACGATTTATTACTGGAATGACACTGATTACACTTCAGAAACCCCACTTATTTTTAGCCTGATTTTCAGAACCTGATCCATTCAGTACAACAGTTCAAGCCAGCTGGAATTCCAGCTGATACATGCCCTTGTCTGAAAACTGGAAGGAAGGATTATTTGCTAGTGGTAACTGTTCTCTTCACTTACTGGGACAACCAGCATAGACCAAATACCAGCTTCTACCCTGTAGACATCCGCACATATGCATCTAGGAAATCATCCCGGATCCTCACCATACACTTCTGCACTTGGCTGGTGTGCCTATAGATGGAAGGTAGAATATCCCAAGAAGGATATCACAAGGCCTCCCACACAGTCCCTCTGAGCTAAACCTGGCCTTCTCCTCCCTGCTGAAACTCAGAGGAAGCCTAACGTGCAGGATATAATCCTCTTAGCTGTTCAGCCAGAAAGGACAGCCAAGAAACCCTTCAAAGAATGTAATCCACCCAGCAATTCGGAAGTATTCAACCAGGTTGTAGCCAGTGTGACTCCTCCAGGCAAGAAAAACTGTGTTAACACAAAAATACAGAGAGCGTCAGCAAGAGTAAAACCCCCTTGTGATAGTTCACGGCCTTTTCCTGACCAGAAACATGGGTTGACTGTCCCTTCATGTTCTTCAGCTGAGGCTAGGGTTTCACCTCAAAATAGAGGCAAGTCCCCAGGCTCCAGCAGAAAAGGAGAGCCATATACACATCTCTATACCTACATATATCCCTCAGGTACATATCTGCACATATATATCATGTGCATACAAGCTTCCTCTGTCTGCAGGTACACCTGGAGCACTTAAGAGAGCAAAAGGGAACACAAAAAAAAAACAAAAAAACAAAAAAAAAAAAAAAAAAAAAAAACCACAAAACCAAAAAACCCCTCAGAAGCCAGCAGTGTCTCGTATGCACCAGAGACAACATGAAGTGCAATGGTGAAAACTCTGTGTCAGGGGTGGGGTGCAGCTTCTGGGCTGGTGTCTCAGGGCACACTCGCCAAACGAGCTCCCGCTCGGCTCCCCCCACACCCGGAGGGGCCAGCGTCCGCAAGGCCGGGCGCCAGCCCCCCTCAGCCACGCTGCCAGCGGCGCTGCTGGAAGTTTCGGGGTGCCGAGCCCCCCTGAGGGCAGAGCAGCCGCGGGGCGAGGGTCGGGGCGCGGCATCGCACCCCCCCGGGCAGGGCGGCGGCGGCGGCGACCGCCGGGCCCGGCCCCGCCGAGGGGAACCCGCCACCTCCTCCCCTCAGGGAGCGGCGTCTCCCCCGGCGCCGCCGCCGCGGGCGGGGGCTGAACAGCACGGGGCAGCCTTACCGGGAAGCCAGCATGGTGCCCGCCGCGCCGCCGCTCGCCCAGCGCCTTGCGGGGGCCACGCCCGCTCCAGGCACGCAGCGCCACAGACTCGCGGCGGGCCGGGCGCCGGCAGCGCTGCGGCAGTGACCCTTCCGCCGTGGAGCTCCCCACGCAGGACCGCTCGCAGCCGGCTCCCCCTCGCCTTTCCCGCCCCCGGGCCCGCCGGGCGGTACCGCTCGGCCCCGGCCTGCGGCCACACCGGGGGCGGCCGCTCTCAGGGGCGGAGGTTGGGACCGCCGGAAACCGTTAGGAGCTGGGAGGGCCGCCGCCAAGCCCGTCAGCCCTGCCCGCCGGGCTCTGCCTTCAGTTTGTTTGTTTGGGTTTTTCAATATTCCCCTTTTTTTTCCCCAGCTGTGTCGGGGGGAGGGCGGGCGCACAGCTGGGCGTGCCGTTGTGGCAGGCCCCGCTCCCGCCGGCCTCCCCCCAGCCCCGGGCCGCAGGGACTGGGCGGGAAGGCAGGGGAGGGAGCCCTGGGGAGGTGTACGAGATAAGCCGTGCGCTTCCCACGGGCGAAGAATCAACGCATTCGAATCATCCAGAATTGCTTATATTACAGGGAACTGAAGAACCTGAGAGCGGAGAGGACAGGCGGCTCCTGGGCTGCACGGAAGGGTCCAGCCCGGTACCGGTGCCCGGCACCTGCGAGTGACTTGGCTTTCACAACGTGTGTGGTTCTCGCTGGTCATTGCAGCCTCCCAGCAAAATGCTCCTTAGAGGAGGAGTTAGCAAGGACGTTGTTAAGCATACCTTGCAAAAGACTTACCCAAAGGCACCACTGAGATCGTAGGAGGATACGTTCTAGCAAACAGTGGGAGTACATTAACCAGATCATTATTTGCAAGAGTAACACCCTATCAGTCTTTTTTTTTTTTTCTCTCTATCGCCTTCTTTTTGATAAACTGCTTCCAAACAAACTAAACTATGGCTACATGAATTGAAAAACGGGACTCATATCTTTTTTATGTGGAGACTCATGGGAGATGGCAGATTTCTGTTTTGCAAGACCAAGAGACCACAGTTGCGTGCCTTGCACACCAAGTACAACCCGCCCGGAACCGACCCTTGCTACTAACACGTTTGTTTTCTGTCATGGATGTGGTGAAGCACTTCCCTCCTGTTTCTTGGCCGCCTCACCGGGCACAAGCGAGGGGCTTGGCGAGTGATCCCAGTTCCTGGAGGAGGCAGAGAGCGGGCAGGGTGGCAGGCATAGCAGCACAGGGGAAAGGCTCCGCTCAGCTGGCCCGCACCCCAAGTATCTTACTCACAAGTCCCAGCCCCAGCTACAGCCCTTGTACAGCCACACGCCTCTTGCTACGTGGCCAGGTGTACGCCAGCTCTGTGTGTCGACAGAGGAAAAATTCGAGAGCGCTATCGCAAAGCTTCCCGTTCCACTGGTTGTGGGGAAAAACATGGAAACCTGGTGCGGGTGCGTGCTGAAGGTTCAAAAGCCAAGACGCCATGAAAAGAATTGCCTCTGGACAGGGCAAGAGACTGCACCAAAAGACTGACTTGTGACTGTGACGTGTAAGAAAGACACCTGCTCATCGTGCAAACCCCCATGAGTTTTAAGGAAAAATTTAGATTCCCCAGGTTTCTTTTTAGAGCCCGAGATGTTGCACCCAGGAACACTGCAGGATCAGGACCAAAGGGACTTCTACTCTATCCCGAACTATAAAGTTATAAAATTGAGGCCTGGATTGATTTTTTCACCAACATTTATTTCTATAACTTTTATACCCCAAATTATTTGCATGCATGATATAGATTATTTGTGGATGCAGGCAGATAATTAGTTATGTCTAAATCCCAAATTCATCAAATTGCATAATTACAAGTGACAGATGAGATGTATTAGCTTCCAGGAACAGGGTTCTAATGACTTTAAATATGCCTTCAAAGATAATAATGGAAAATGATGGTCCTTTTATTTCCACCATATGGAAAGTCATGTAGTTTTATTATGTGAAACTGTTAATTTTGCATCTGCCCCAAATTCTGAGCAGTGCTACTGCAGTATTTATTTACTATTCTGTACTATTCTGATAGAAATTATTATTTTTTTTCTATGTACAGCCTAGTCTTGATCAACTGTAAGTTGCTCAAAAAATATATCTGAAAGCACCTGTGAACTCATAAATATCAATGCAAGTTCTAAATATTGGGAAGAAATTATTCAGTTGAAAATGCTAAGAGAATCCTGAATTTTGCCCAAAGCCTAGTCTGGAAAAATTACAGGTCTATACTGAATATTAATTGCATTTTCCTTGTTTTGCTCCAGAGATTTGACAGGAGATACAATTTGGAGACACAGTTTGGATTGAAATATTTGAGAATATTTAATAATGTAATCAAAAATTATTAACTCACTGCATTTTAATGTGGAATAAGTAGTTCTTCCCTCTTTTATTTATTATAAACAGAGAACCTTTGAGGCATGAGAGAGGCATTCATACGGGAATTCAAGGAATCTTCCTAGAGAAGGAGGAAATCAAAAATGAAAATATGAGAAGAGGGTTGATTACTTCTTTAGAAAGAAAACTGGTGCCCACTTTGAGCCTTTCTGTCCAGCCTCCAAGAAAAGAGGATATTCACAAATCTAGATGCAAATAAAAATACACCATCAAGACAAGTCCAGCTGAGGTCCCGTAACTGAATAATTTGTTCAGTTGCATCGCCATGAAAGGATCTCTGGGAACTAGCACAGCTATTTCCTGTAGCTTGAGACGAGACAAAACCTCCATCTCTGGAGAGGATGTGGGGAAAGCTTGCCTCAGTCAGATACGTAGCGCGCTGTGTGCTTTTATTAACACCAGTTCCTGCTGCATGCTAAAAAAGTGCTGCTTGCTATTTTGCATTAAATTTTCTGTTTCTTCACTTACAAGTAAGATTGAGGGAGGAGATAAAATGAGAGTAAGAGCAACAGTGTGTATGATCTTTCTAGATAATTCTAACCATTCTGTCCCTCAAACACCGAAGTACCAACCCTCCTGGTAGAAATGTGGATGGATTCACAGTCAGCAGGTTCTGCGTGGAAGAAGCTGGCTGGTAACAGAAAAGCAAGCTAATCCAGACTTCAGTGCATATTTCATTATTTCAGGTTACTTCAACATCAGTTTATCTTAAAACACACTCACTAACCACTTCCCAGCATATGTATTTGCGTAATTTGAGAAAAACCTGATTATTTTCAGGAGACTTACCACTACGCATTCCCTTGGAGAGAAGCGCAAATAAACAGGCTGACCCCTCAAGGATAAAACCTGAGCCCTATGCAAGTCATTAGAGATTTCACCACCAACCTCAGCTATGTCAAGGTGACACAAAACCTGCTCCAAGACGAACAGACTTGAGACAAAAAAGCCACAAAGTACAAGGCCCATCAGCAGTCTGATTCATTCACAAAACTGAGCTCTTGTAGAACCTCTTTGTAAAATATTCTTTCCATTCTTACTGACCTTATTCTGAAAAAATACCTCTAGTAATATATAACTACATAATTGCAGCACAATCTCTGAGATCTAGATATCTTAGATATTTTTAATTTTCCTTTTATTTTTTAAACTCTGCGTTTCCTATTTTTTCATGAAACTATTTTTGATACTTTATGAAATTTTTTAATAGTTTTTTCTTCTGCCTCCTGAATTTGAAAGCTAACTCAAATGGACTGTATTCACTGGGGTAACACAGTATCAGCATATTTCTGAGCAAGTTAAAGCAGGACCTTCAAAAACAGTCAAGGTGGAAAATGGAGTTTTTTGCTGAAACTTCAGCTTCTAAAATCATATGACTTTTCTGACTTGATAATGAAAGAAAGAAACCAGTCACTTTCTGCTCTTACACAACAGTAAGTTTCCTGACAGCATGACTTCCTTGTTGTGAAATGCAAAACAAAAGAAGTTGACACAACACAAACACTGTTGTCTTTCACAGAGACAGTATTCCCCATTTCTGATCCCAGTCAGATCATTTCTAGGGATCAAAAAAAAATGTATATTCATTAAATGAATGTAGTTAGGCTGAGTATTCTTTGCTAGTTTGTTCAGATTCAATCTCCCTACCAAAAGCCCTGTCCTGAAGGATTTCCAGATCTGTAATTCATGAAACAAATCCTTACTGTTCTACTACTAGCCATTGGCAGTTGATTTGTGTTTTGGAAATGCTTCTGTTCTTCAGGCATCTCCATTTTTGCTCCAGTAGAGGGTAAACTGAGTCAGTTAGGGTGTCTGCATAAATCCTAAATTACTCTTCCAGCACTCCAGGCACTTTCTACTGTGTGGCAAAGGATTTTCTTGGCTAACACCAGCCAATGGAATGCACACTTCTTTATACAATTCTCTTGTAGTATCATGTTCCATGCTGACCCCCGTGTCTAAATGAAGGTGAACCTTGTAGATTGTTGGATGCACTGAAAAACAGGGTGCAAGTGTTGTGAGAGTGTTTGGGAATCCAGGTTTTCAGGATTGTTACCCTGCAGCACTAGTATGACTCAGTGTCTTCCCATATCCCAAATCACTCAAGTCAGATTAAGCTAAGTGTAAAAAAAAGAGTTCCTTTACAGCATGAAAGAATGGATATGATAGTCGTAAAATTTACAGAGGAGAGTGAAAAGAAAACCACACGTATGCCAAAGAATTGTACTTCTCCTCTGGGTGGCCTACCTGGTACGTCTATAGACACGCGTGGTCATCCAGATCAGGATCTGGCTCTCATTCTGCAGCACAGATCTACATCTGTAGGTAATGTTCTGAGAAGAAGCTGGGCTGGGGATAGTTCCTCCACCCTTCCATACTCCAAAGACATTTTGAGGAGTTTATCCAGATTGGATTTCTTCCTCACACCCACCTCTCTCCTCGTGGACAGCCATACCTCCATCGGGAAGGAGTCTCGGCCTCCCTTACGGCAGGCTACTGGCAGATCCCTCCTGTTTTAAAAACATTCCTGTCCTCTGTGCTTCTCCCAGCGCGACCCCATCTTCACCAGTCAGGCTGGTGAACCGGGTTGGTTATGGTGCGCGTGTCAGGCTGGAAAATGTCCCAAGCCCAAAGTGCAACAAAATGTTTTGAACAGTTTTCCAGCAGGACGCTGTTGCCCACGGCGTACCTTGGTATAGACACACACAACCTCCCCGCAGGGTTTGATACGGATCATTATTTAATATTTCAAGCAAGTGCAGAGGCTTTGGTTTTATTTTTTTTTTTTTTTTCTCCACACAGCGGCGAAAAAAACGGCGCCGGAAGCCGCCCCGCTCCCTGAGCGCTGAGGCTGCGGCCGAGGCGTCGTCACGACCCCTCAAGTGGTGAGGCAGAGCCCGGCGTCAGGCGCTGTCGCACTCGCCGGGGTTAACGACGGGCTCCCTTTTCGGGGGACTCCCCGGGCGGGGCTGGGGGTCCCCTCAGGCCCGGGCTCTCCCCCCGCCAAAACTACCCCCCCCCCCCCCCCCCCCCCCGCGCCGCTGAGGGGGAAGGGGCGGGGTCAAACCGTTCCGCTAGGGGGCGCCACCGAGCGGAAGGGGGGAGGGGGAGAGTCACGAGACACCCCTCCCCAGCTGTTGCTGGCAGGCTGAGGCAAGATTCCGGGGAGGGGGCGTTATCATTGGCTGCGGGCGAGCACCGCGGGCGCTCCCATTGGCTAGGGCGCGGGGAGAGGCGGGGCGCGGGCGTCAATAAAGAGGGAAGCCGGGGCGGGCGGCGGGCACAGGTCGCGTCGGGGCCAGGCCGGGAGCGGGACGGGAGTCGCCTGTTTGCTTCAGCGCCGCCGGGACATGCTCGCAGCCTGACTGACCGCAGGTGGCCGCCGCGCCCGGGACACGAATGAAGAAGCTGTTGCTCCTCCTGTTCACACATCGGGGACTCGTCAGCCGAGGGGGCCGCAGGGGGAAGCGCCGTCGAAAATGGCCTCGTTCAGCATCCGCGCCGCGCGCCCCGATGACTGCCCTGAGCTCCTGCGACTGATCAAGGTGCGGGGGGGGGGGGGGGGGGGCAGAGCTGCGGGCGGCGGCCGGGCGTGGGGGAGGAGGGGGCCCTGTGCCCGTCTGGCGGAGCGAAAACAAGCTCTTGCGCAAGGCGGCGGGGGGGGGGCGGGGAGAGGTCGCTGACAACGTCCTTCTCTTCCAGGAACTAGCGAAATACGAGGACATGGAGGATCAAGTGGTGCTAACCGAGAAAGGTACGAGAGCGGCAGCGGGTCGCCGGGCCGCTGGTCTAGTGGCGCTGTCTGTAGCTCAGGTGCCGATCTGTTCTGCTTTTCCAGAACTGCTTGAGGATGGTTTTGGCGAGCACCCTTTCTACCACTGCCTGGTTGCAGAAGTGCCAAAAGAACAGTGGTCGTCTGAAGGTGAGGCTTCCCAATACTTACTTGAAGATGCTAAATACACAAGAGGCATCTTATACTTAATGTTACCGATTATACGTAAGGTCACACCAGTGAATTGGGGTAGGAGGAGTAGGTTAACTGTTAAATGCAGTAACATATAGCGATACTCTGCTGAAGTAGTTGCTAATCCTGGAGGCATGGGAAGATCAGGTGTAACATAATGTACTTGATTCCAATTAATTAAATGGCTTTTCTTGTTTGACCCTGACTTACCTTTATGTAATCCTGTTGAATCACATTTTTTTCTTTAATTTGTCCCCAATCTTCAGGTTACAGTCTCTAGCTTCGCCATGTACATGGCCCTTCCGTGTACATGGATGGGCGGGGAGGTAACTAAAAGATCCGTTACACAATAAAGTAGATGATCATAATATGAGGTAAGGTCTACAGGGACAAGCGCTATTCCCAAACGTTTACCAAAGACACAGTAGATCAGAAATCTGTTTGCACGCTTCTCTTACAGTATGTGCAGAGTGCTACGGCAGACGTAGTTAAAATACTCTAGGTTTGAGTGGGCTGGTGTTGGAAGAGTTGGTTTCTTTTCCCTGTCAAGCCACGGATTTACAGTTGAAACTGCAGCTTTACTTACTTTGACTTTATGGTGCTGAAGGTAAAGAAAACCACATGATGGTCTCTGTGGAAGCAGAAGTTGAGGTACTGGAGATGCTGCTGTAAAAGTGGCCTGTGAGTGTGCCTTCTCACACAGTGTAGTTACTGAGGAGTATGCATTGAAAGATCGGTGTCCTTGAGAGTTTGATAGACTATTTCGGTTGCTAAGGAAGCAGAGTTGGAGCAGTCATCTAGATTGTGAACTGCTGTGTAAAGTTTGTACTTGTATTTCAGAATGGAAATGCTGATAAATTGGTAGGGTGTGCATTTTTTTTTTTTCCCCAGAAAAAAAGCCTTGTGTTCAGTACTTACTATGATACTGCTTTTGAGGATTTCAGGGTATGGCAAGGGCAATCTTCGTTCTGTCAAGTTGATACAAGTTTGTCAGAACTCGTATTTTCAGTTGTGTGCTTACTTGTAAACTTAATTTGTAATTCTAACCTAGTAGCAAATGTCTGCATGTTACAGAGAATCTGTATGTTTAAACCATGCATGTAAGACTTAATATTTTTGCCTTTTAAATTCAGACTAGCTGAAGTCACACCTTTTGTTTCAGAACACTGCATTGTGGGCTTTGCCATGTATTACTTCACTTACGATCCGTGGATTGGAAAACTGCTGTATCTTGAAGATTTTTATGTGATGGCTGAGTATAGAGGTATGTGTTACAGAATTAGATGAATTGCTTCCCATAGGTCGTCTTTAAAATTGAAACTGAGGGGGGTTTTTTGTTTCTTTTTCTAGGACTGGGCATTGGGTCAGAAATTCTGAAGAACTTGAGTCAGGTATGTTTAAGTGATAAGCCTAAACAAGCAGAACTTGAGGACATGTGGCAAGGTGGTATTCTTGCTTTTCTGCTAACTGCATGAGAGCTTCTCCTTCAGCACTACTCGGAATTAAAGGAGATGACAGGACACTGGATGGCTTAAAACAGTGTCTGGAGCCTGTTAGAGCAACAGGTGCTCAAGTGGCTGACAGAATGAACTTTGACTTGTGGTGATACAGTTAGTTGCTGACTAGTAGTCTCACCAGGTCTTACTAGGCTGATCACCTGGGCCTGTTGTCTGAAGCATGTCCTGTTGCACACTTTTGCAGGTCGCTGTGAAGTGCCGCTGCAGCAGTATGCACTTCCTTGTTGCAGAGTGGAACGAACCATCCATCAGGTTCTATAAGAGAAGAGGCGCCTCTGATCTGTCCACTGAGGAGGGGTGGAGGCTCTTCAAAATTGACAAAGAATATCTCTTGAAGATGGCAACAGAAGAGTGAGAGATGATTCCAGCAAATAAATTCTTTCTACGAATATACATGCTCTCTGAATAAACTCCTTCTTGCTTTTTTGTGTACAGTTTGTAGTGGAATAAAGTAGTGTGGATGCTAATAATGAAAATGCTATACAGGTGTGGTCATAGAGTAATCGGTACTGTGATCTGGAGTTGAGGCATCTGTGAAGTTGCATATGTGCTTGTTGTGCATCCTTTACCAGTGTGGGCTTGTAATCTTTGTATATGGAAACTTCATTCTTGTAAGTGTCACTCAAATGTGTACAATGTACACACTGGTAGGGTTTGTTTTAATTATTGCCTTTTATAAAAATAAATAGTGTTTTCACTTCATGGCAGTAGTTTTGACTTTAATTCTTGCATACACTTTTCACTTAATAAAAGACTCTCACCCAAACAATTTCCACAAATGATGTGTGATTTACCACAGTCCCAGGGTGATTAAAGTCTTGTTTGTGGGGCTGCAGGACCCAGGGGTGAGGTGCGGAGCCCCTGTGGTGAACCTGAGCCTTGGAGGTGTTTGAGCTCAACTTTAATCTCCTGCACTGTGGGGAGCCTTTTGTGCAAGGGAGCTACAACGGGCTAGTTCAGAGTTCTTCAAAGGGGTGGCTGGTCTCAGGCCTCTAGAAAGCAGCCCCTGAACAACTAGAGCTTGTGGTGTTGCCTCCTTAGGGCTTCCAGTGACCTGTAGTAGCACCTTGGGCAGGAGGGCAGAACCTTGAAGGGGAAGACGCATCTAATGCTTCAAAGACTAAGTCATAAAAGTAGGTTTGACTGGTCAGGAGTAGGAGAAAGGATTTTTGCAAGCTGCTAAGGAACTCCCTTCTATGAGTCTTAAAACATTAAAATTGAGTGCTTCCAGTAATCCAAGTTTATGTACGTGATTTCAGATACTGCCCAGAGTTTTTCATGTGCTTCAGTGCTGTGTTGTTGGGGGCAGTGCTAAAGTTAAGTGCTGTGTTAAGCAGTAAAAAACTTGGGTCCTGTGTATTTGAACCTTTGTACAGCTGTAAGTGAAAACAATGCTGCTCATCAACTTTTTAATCAGCTTGGAAACAAATTTATTGACTTTTCAATGCTGTGTCTGCCTTTCTCATGAGTTGATGGTGAAAGCAGGTGCGTGCAAGATTTACACTGCTCTCTTCTTGCTCTGTAGTAGCCCTGCAATAAAAGGCTTATTTTTGCCAGCACTGCTTTCGCTTCAAAGAGACTTACCTGCCTTGTAACCTGCACTGGTTTAAATAAAACAAGGTTTTAAACTGATTTTGACTGCTGCATAAATCATGTCCCATCTGGAAGATGTCTCCTTGTCCTAGAGAGTAGTGGGCAGTGATTGCTTCAACCATGGGTAATGCTAAACTAATTTTAAGAACAAGATGTCCCTCTGCCCAGTGCCAGCAGCAGGTTGTGCAGGGCCTTTAACATGAAACTGTACTTGTTTTCTCTTTTGTTTTTGTTTTTCGCTAAGGCGTAGGCAGCAGGTTGCCAGCTCTGCCCAGGTGTGAGATAGGGCTGTCAGCTGTTGCATCAGGAATGAGAAGGCCAATAGGAAATACAGGAGCTCTTGGAAGAGAGCAGGAGGTAGCATATGCCCAAGTGGTTGCCTGGACAAACACGGGCTGGACTGAGCCCAGAATCTGTCGCATAAATTTAAATTTAGCAGATCAGGTTCTGCGTAGGAACAGACATCTCCAGGCACTCCTCAGTGTCTGTGCAGCACCTCAGCTGCTGTGACAGCATTCATACCATGCACGGAAGCCTGGGGCTCCAATCCCTCTCCTGCCCGAGGGGAACAGAAATCTTGTTTCTCGCTTGACGGTGTATTAACTGCTAGGCCCCGAACCGCCCTGCTTGCTCTTGCTGAGCCTGCACCTTTCTGCAAATCAGCAGGCCAAAGGAGGTGAGAGCAAGCCTGCCCTGTGAACCGGCCTGGTAACTAGAGCTGGAGGCGGTGTGGGAAGGACGAGATGGTCTCCAGCACTCTGGCTGAGCATCAGGGTGTTGCATCTTCTCGCTGCTGAAGCTGCAGTAACTTCACTGGTTAACTCTGCGAGCCACAGTAACCTATTTGCTCATCTCAGTCCTAGTGGAATCTGGTTTGAAGTTATTTCGAGATGGTCCTTTTGGCTCTGTATATCAGTCCAGAAGGTGATTACTAGCAGAGCAGTTTAAGAGTGTTTTTATTTTCAAATTAACAGTTCATTAGATATCTAGGACAGACCAGCTTAAATCTCAGGCCCCAGACTTCTGGAGCACAATAAGGCTATCAAAGCTGCATGACTGAATGGAACAAGCTAACTAATTAGGCATTATAATTAGGAAAGTAAGCAGCTTAGCCAAATTTTCAATTAACTCAAAAGTGTTTATCGTATCTTGGTCATCTTCTTCTGCCAAAGCAGTTTACCACTGAATTTTCTAAACAAATTCTGCTGAAATAGATTCTCATGGAGTTACAGAAAACAAGTAAGGCGTTGCTAAATGAGAACCTTTTCTAGCCAACTGTGATAATTTTAAACATTCACACATGAAAGTAAAGACAAGGACTAACCTTTCAGATATGACTTTCACTGAAATCCTACTGAGAGGTAGGGTTTCTAAAACCAGGCGAAATATTCTCACAGTTATGGTACAGAGTCTCCAACAGGGTGATGTAGTAATGCCATGGCTCAAGAAAAGACCAATTTTAAATTCCTTCAATAACTTTTTCGCAATTTACCAGGGGACCAGAGTGACTGTAACTCCAATCGAGATGTACAGCTGAGTATTTCTATGGGTTTAGACACAGGAGAAACCTCACTCAACTTGATTTTCTTCGTTCCCAGGATCATGATCGCACCACCAAGCTGCAACGCGAGCGTATGATCAGGGCTAAGCAATACCAGTATGATCAGGCCAGCAACACACACCGGCAGGACTCCATCACGGCACAGGCATAGGGCTTTTGTAGGGCCTACAGGTGTGTCAGCCTTCTGTGTTACCCTATTTCCTCACTGCACCATGTTGCCTCTGGGGAAGAGGTAGAGAGTGGGTGTTACGACAGCAGTGATAACATCTCTGGGGAGGTGAGGTGCAAAGTTCCTCCTCAAGCTCATGACCCGGGAAGTCCTCCTCAAGCCAAGCCAGCCTGCAGAAGGCTTCACAATTGCAGTGTTTCCACGTTCCCATCGGGTGGGGATGGAAAGGTGGCCTTGGACAAACTTGCAGCTGGAGAATGCAGCAGAGGGCCATACCCAGCTGCAAGGAGCACCGGGCTCGCCGCCCACTCTCTGTTCAGTGTTTTCCTGCTTGCAGGCTCCCGCACAATGATCTGACTCGTAGCCGTAGCAACGGCATGGAAGGAGGCTTTTCTGTCTACATAATTTGAGTTAAAACATAATATATGCGAGAAAAACAACCCTTCCCCCTCTCCTCTTCTTTTAAAGAGCCTTTGCTCTCAGTGTAATTCAAAAAGCCAATGCAAACTTTTCCCCCAGAGGACATGTAGGTGCTCTAATGCATTCCTGCACATGGCGTTTTGTCTTGGGAGACTCGCCATCCTGGAGCCTGGCCAGCTGAATGCGGAGGTCTCACTGACGCAGCTGCAGGGAAAACACCAGCTACGTATGGAGCAGGGACTCAGGAAACCATCGTGTGACTCACTGCTGCACAGCCCTACCTCGGGCTGGAGGCTGGCCCAGAGACGTGCTTTGTGCCTCCCTTTCCTTGAGTTGACCAGAAGCCTTATTTCCTTCAGCTTGCACAAATTCCCTTCTCACAGAGCTCTCGCACACACACAGGGGCATGCACCGACTGATGGCAGCGCCGATGAAACCTGCAGCACACAGCTGTTTGCCTGGGTTTAAATAATTCAGCTCACCTAACAGACTCAGCTTTGCCCAGTTGTTTTGCTTGCCTGGGCAGGATTGCTTAAACACACTTTTTTTTTTTTGAAACTCAGGTTTCAGAGAAGCGGCTGCAATTTAAATAAAGGCATTAGCTGCTATCTGAAACAAAACAACACGTGACTAGAGTGCCTGCCACTAATGTTTAATCTCACTGCAAACTCAAAGCAGGCTGTAACTTCACCATCCAGACGCGAGTCCCTCTGAGGACTCTTCTTTCTCCACTCAAGACGTGGCTAAATTTTTTTGCTGGCAAGCAGGTTTATGGTAAGTGCAACCTTAATGAAGGGCTTTAGAGCCCATCAGGCGCTCCAACAAATCCCTGTAGGGAGCTCGTGGAGGAGAGGGTGTAAGGCCACTGATGGTGGCCGTGGGCTCTGGGTAGGAGCACAGCCCAACACCCGTGCAGAACCACCAGATGCACTTCTCCTGTCCTCCAGGCCTCACCCTGCTGTGCTCTGACTCCTTCTGCCATCACAAATGCTTACTGTGGTTGATAACAGAATAAAGCACAGGTACACACTTCTATCAAAAATAGATGGGGGAGGAGGGGGGAAGGGGGCTGGAGAATTCCATCTTCAAACCAGTTTCGGTTTCATTTCACAGATTTACTCGAGGCCAAAGCAAGAGATAAAAAGTCCCAGGGAATAATTAGCTCATAAGGATGAAAAACAAACACAGGTTGCAGAAACTCCTCTACGTTAAATAGTTTTGTTTATTTCAATTTGCACTTTTGCATATTTCTATTATTCACACAGCAGGTGCGAGCTGTTCACGTTCATTCAAAGGGAAAAGGTATTTTCATTTTCTTGAGCTCTGTTTCCCTTCTCCACCAAAACAGGTTAAAAAGACTGTGCTTTAGGAAGATGAAACCAGGTGCCCGTCCTCTCCTGAAAGTTTACTGTACGGCATGATGAGGTGGCTTCACATCTTCCAAATCACCTCCCAGGAGCCCACCATGCAGGGAAGGGATGTGAACCCCTGAAATTCCTATTAGAAACCTTCCTCCACCCGGGCAAAAAAGCATGAGAGAGACAGTAGCTTTCCACATGAAAGCCCATTGGTGTTTCCAAGTAATCTGGATATTGCAGTGGTGTTTTCAAAACACACTGGTAAAAGTGCAGGGTGAGATTTTTTCAAAGCTGATTATTATAATTAGGCACCCAGATAACACTGCAAAGGTACCTTTGAACAGTCATCCCCTATTTGCTCTAATGATGAGCAAACTCCAGACTGGCCTCTTCACAGTCTCCCTGAACTTTCACATTTGATCTGTTTCAGCCACCAACACAGAAACACCACCACACAGCTTGTACAAGAGGAACAAAAGGACCCATAGCTTTGGTATATAGTCTTGTGTCTTTTGCAATCAGTTCATATGGCGGAATCTTGTTTTTTCCCCCAGCCAACTTCCTACCATGGCCTAACACAGATGTACATGAACGTTTCTCA